GCTGTGATAAAGCCGTGCGCTGTGTCCTGGTGTGCAGCTCGGTTTGATCTATACATTGCAGCTGTGATAAAGCCGTACGCTGTTTCCTGGTGTGCAGCTCGGTTTGATCTATACATTGCAGCTGTGATAAAGCCATGCGCTGTGTCCTGGTGTGCAGCTCGGTTTGATCTATACATTGCAGCTGTGATAAAGCCGTGCGCTGTTTCCTGGTGTGCAGCTCGGTTTGATCTATACGTTGCAGCTGTGATAAAGCCGTGCGCTGTGTCCTGGTGTGCAGCTCGGTTTGATCTATACGTTGCAGCTGTGATAAAACCGTCTAACGCTGTGTCCTGATGTTGCAGCTTCGGTTTGATCTATGCGTTGCGAGCCTTGACGATGGCGCTATTATTCTGGTGTTACCTTCGGTTTGATCTATCGTTGCGGCTGTGATAAACCGTGCCTTTGTGTCCTGGTGTGCAGCTTCGGTTTGATCTGCTCGTTTGCAGCTGTGTCGCCGTCGCTGTTCCTGGTCAGTACGGCTTCGGTTTGATCTATACATTACGGCTATGATAAAGCCGCTGTTCTGGTGTGCCTTCGGTTTGATCTCGTTACGGCGTGATAAAGCCGTGCGCTGTGTCCTGGTGTGCAGCTCGGTTTGATCTATACGTTGCAGCTGTGATAAAGCCGTGCGCTGTTTCCTGGTGTGCAGCTCGGTTTGATCTATACGTTGCAGCTGTGATAAAGCCGTGCGCTGTTTCCTGGTGTGCAGCTCAGTTTGATCTATACGTTGCAGCTGTGATAAAGCCGTACACTGTGTCCTGGTGTGCAGCTCGGTTTGATCTATACATTGCAGCTGTGATAAAGCCGTGCGCTGTGTCCTGGTGTGCAGCTCAGTTTGATCTATACGTTGCAGCTGTGATAAAGCCGTGCGCTGTGTCCTGGTATTACCTTTCGGTTTTGATCTATACGTTGCAGCTGTGATAAAGCCGTACGCTGTTTCCTGGTGTGCAGCTCGGTTTGATCTATACATTGCAGCTGTGATAAAGCCGTGCTGTTTCCTGGTGTGCAGCTCGGTTTGATCTATACATTGCAGCTGTGATAAAGCCGTGCGCTGTGTCCTAGTGTGCTGCTCGGTTTGATCTTTACGTTGCAGCTGTGATAAAGCCGTGCGCTGTGTCCTGGTGTGCAGCTCGGTTTGATCTATACGTTGCAGCTGTGATAAAGCCGTGCGCTGTTTCCTGGTGTGCAGCTCGGTTTGATCTATACGTTGCAGCTGTGATAAAGCCGGACGCTGTGTCCTGGTGTGCAGCTCGGTTTGATCTATACGTTGCAGCTGTGATAAAGCCGTGCGCTGTTTCCTGGTGTGCAGCTCGGTTTGATCTATACGTTGCAGCTGTGATAAAGCCGTGCGCTGTTTCCTGGTGTGCAGCTCGGTTTGATCTATACATTGCAGCTGTGATAAAGCCGTGCGCTGTGTCCTGGTGTGCAGCTCGGTTTGATCTATACGTTGCAGCTGTGATAAAGCCGTGCGCTGTTTCCTGGTGTGCAGCTCGGTTTGATCTATACGTTGCAGCTGTGATAAAGCCGTGCGCTGTGTCCTGGTGTGCAGCTCGCTGTGATAAAGCCCTGGTCCTGTGTCCTGGTGTGCAGCTCGGTTTGATCTATACGTTGCAGTTGTGATAAAGCCGTGCGCTGTTTCCTGGTGTGCTGCTCGGTTTGATCTATACGTTGCAGCTGTGATAAAGCCGTGCGCTGTTTCCTGGTGTGCAGCTCGGTTTGATCTATACGTTGCAGCTGTGATAAAGCCGTGCGCTGTGTCCTGGTGTGCAGCTCGCTGTGATAAAGCCCTGGTCCTGTGTCCTGGTGTGCAGCTCGGTTTGATCTATACGTTGCAGTTGTGATAAAGCCGTGCGCTGTTTCCTGGTGTGCTGCTCGGTTTGATCTATACGTTGCAGCTGTGATAAAGCCGTGCGCTGTTTCCTGGTGTGCAGCTCGGTTTGATCTATACGTTGCAGCTGTGATAATGTCGTGCGCTGTTTCCTGGTGTGCTGCTCGGTTTGATCTATACGTTGCAGTTGTGATAATGTCGTGCGCTGTGTCCTGGTGTGCAGCCCGGTTTGATCTATACATTGCAGCTGTGATAAAGCCGTGCGCTGTTTCCTGGTGTGCTGCCCGGTTTGATCTATACGTTGCAGCTGTGATAATGTCGTGCGCTGTTTCCTGGTGTGCTGCTCGGTTTGATCTATACGTTGCAGTTGTGATAATGTCCTGCGCTGTGTCCTGGTGTGCAGCCCGGTTTGATCTATACATTGCAGCTGTGATAAAGCCGTGCGCTGTGTCCTGGTGTGCAGCTCGGTTTGATCTATACATTGCAGCTGTGATAATGTCGTGCGCTGTTTCCTGGTGTGCTGCTCGGTTTGATCTATACGTTGCAGTTGTGATAATGTCGTGCGCTGTGTCCTGGTGTGCAGCTCGGTTTGATCTATACGTTGCAGCTGTGATAAAGCCGTGCGCTGTTTCCTGGTGTGCAGCTCGGTTTGATCTATACGTTGCAGCTGTGATAAAGCCGTACGCTGTGTCCTGGTGTGCAGCTCGGTTTGATCTATACGTTGCAGCTGTGATAAAGCCGTGCGCTGTGTCCTGGTGTGCAGCTCGGTTTGATCTATACGTTGCAGCTGTGATAAAGCCGTGCGCTGTTTCCTGGTGTGCAGCTCGGTTTGATCTATACATTGCAGCTGTGATAAAGCCGTACGCTGTTTCCTGGTGTGCAGCCCGGTTTGATCTATACATTGCAGCTGTGATAAAGCCGTGCGCTGTGTCCTGGTGTGCAGCTCGGTTTGATCTATACGTTGCAGCTGTGATAAAGTCGTGCGCTGTTTCCTGGTGTGCAGCTCGGTTTGATCTATACATTGCAGCTGTGATAAAGCCGTACGCTGTTTCCTGGTGTGCAGCTCGGTTTGATCTATACATTGCAGCTGTGATAAAGCCGTACGCTGTGTCCTGGTGTGCAGCTCGCTGTGATAAAGCCATGCGCTGTGTCCTGGTGTGCACCTCGGTTTGATCTATACATCGCAGCTGTCGCCGTTATCTGCAGGGGGCCCTACAGTACATACAGATATTGAGTCGCTGTTTGAGGGAGAATGAAAGTTTGTTATGAACTGCAGTTTCGTTTTGTAACGTCTCTCTGCAGGAAGTGGTTAAAGCTACGCAATCCGTTACATGACGAGGTCACACTGCACATTACACACTGCCTAGGACGTCTGACGACTATATTCATTTTCATTCTATTTTTGAAAATACTAAATGCTGCAGGACATTGCAGACAGTACCGTAGGACGCTGTTTGAGTGATCCTGGTAATAACCAGTATTGGGCAGGAAGCAGAGCCAGACTTGTTATCTGTGTGTCTTTGGCTTATTGTTCATTAATATTGTAATACATGGTTTGTTTTGCATACTCTAGGCAGCTGACATACATGTTAAAGTCTGAGTATGTGGCTTAGTGTTTGGCAATGAATCCTTGTGACCGGAAACTCCTTGCTGGAGGCCGTTGTAAATAGCGTGATATTTCACACGCGCCCATTCCCAGAGCTCCTAGCTCACATTGATGCTGGATTCATAGTGAGTCTCTGACAATGTTCCACTAATATGTGGTGCCTGCTCAGATGATTGGTACCACGGGAGAGCCTAGGGAACCTCGGTGATGGAGTGTAAGGGCTAACTAAACCACCCTCCCCTGCTACTCCTCTAGAAATGTCATAATTTCGTCATGTAATTAACGTGGTGCTCATTCTATTCTACAGGATGATTGAAGAGAGCGGAAAAAAGAGGACGATGGCCGAAAAGCGTCAGCTCTTCATGGAGATGAGTAAGTCCTGAATTTACCTATTCCGCTAACCTGCAACTCTGCTAACCTGCAATCCCGCTAATCTGTAATGCTACTTTGCGTTTTAACACATTCAGTTATTGGGTGTTGGTTAATTGCCCCACCCCCACCCACCAGTTACATTGTAATGTCCGTATCCCTTTAGTGTAAAAGATATTGGGGGTTTAGTTAATGCCCCCTCAGTGTGAGCTGCTGTGTTCCCTGAGTATTCTACAGACAGCAGTTACATTGTAATGTCCGTATCCCTTTAGTGTAAATATATATTTTGGGGGTTTGGTTGGTAGTGTGAGCTGCTGTGTTCCCTGAGTATTCTAATATTATTATTTTTTTTTTTAATATTTGCAATATTTTATTTTTTTCTGGAGTGGTCCTTAGTGTGTTTAGATTACTGACCCATCTCTCGTTTCATAATGAAAAACTATTAAATTGGCCTTTTATTCCAGCTCCAGGAGAGCCTCCTATCTCCATTCTCAGGAGTTCTCACTACACTGACACAGATCTGCTACTAATGTTCCTCATATTGCCGCATTGATGCAAGTTTGGCAGCTGAGATGAACTACCAGGGAGATTTCTGAAAGTTTGGATTCACCTTGAAATTATCGCTTTTTTTAATCCTTCAGAGAAAGACCATTAACCCATAAACCTCTTCAGTTGGCTAAAGACTTTATTGGACTTTAGTGTGCCTTTAACTGCTACTAGTAACCCCGTTATCGTAACCGCTCCCTAATCTCAGTATAAAAACAAGATCAAACAGAAATCCGCCCTCCAGCTATCTGTTTCCCCTCTTACTTCCGCCCTTCATTAATCCACCTGAGTAGAGCGGGAGGGTCAGTGCCTGTCCGTGTCCTGGCTGTTCTACCAGTTCAATTTGGGTTCTGTCAGTACTGTACGTTCTTGAACTACGACATCCCATAACGCAATACAGTAAACCACGTGGGGTCCAGAATGCTGCTAAAGGTTTCTTTTTCTTCTAAAAGCTATATAAAGTTGAGCGTGCAATATTAAAAGTAAATACAGGTAATTAATCAGTCCGTAAGCAGTAAAACACATCCTTTTATGAAACAGAAAATGAAGCATTAAAGGAACATTATAGAGTAAGGAACCAAACATGTATTTCTGACACTATAGTCCTGAAGTGGCTGTTTAGGTGAACGTCCCCCTACGACGGACTAGCCCCACCGTGCCGGGATCTATTTCTCATTGAGAGGCTATTGCACATTCCCGGCAAAATCCCTTGCTGCATCAATTAGCATCTCCTCATAGCAGTGCATTAAATCAGTGCGTCTCTATGGGGAGCGATCAGCGTCTGCATGCAGAGTGTGGCGACGCTGCATTAAATCGGTGCATCTGCATGGGAACGATCTGCGTCTGCATGCAGTGTGGAGATGCTGCATTAAATCGGTGCATCTCCATGGGAACGATCTGCGTCTGCATGCAGTGTGGAGACGCTGCATTAAATCGGTGCATCTCCATGGAAACGATCTGCGTCTGCATGCAGAGTGTGGCGACGTAATGCATTAAATCAGTGCGTCTCTATGGGGAGCGATCTGCGTCTGCATGCAGAGTGTGGAGATGCTGCATTAAATCAGTGCGTCTCTATGGGGAGCGATCTGCGTCTGCATGCAGAGTGTGGCGACGCTGCATTAAATCGGTGCATCTCCATGGGAACGATCTGCGTCTGCATGCAGAGTGTGGAGACGCTGCATTAAATCAGTGCATCTCCATGGGAACGATCTGCGTCTGCATGCAGAGTGTGGAGACGCTGCATTAAATCAGTGCATCTCTATGGGGAACGATCTGCGTCTGCATGCAGAGTGTGGAGATGTTGCATTAAATCAGTGCGTCTCCATGGGAACGATCAGCGTCTGCATGCAGAGTGTGGAGACGCTGCATTAAATCAGTGCGTCTCTATGGGGAGCGATCTGCGTCTGCATGCAGAGTGTGGAGACGCTGCATTAAATCAGTGCGTCTCTATGGGGAGCGATCTGCGTCTGCATGCAGAGTGTTAAGACGCTGAACGTAGGTGCTGCCCATTGTGCAGCTCTGGCACAGGAAGCACATCTAGTGGCCGTCTGAGTGACTGCCCCTAGAGGTGTCGTAATGTAAACACTGCCTTTTAAAATTAATCTAGACATATCTGTAAACATGTAACTGGAAAGCACATAACACTATGTATCCTAATCTGTTCTAGGAGCTGAGAACTTTGACCTCATTAGACTTTCCACGTATCGGACCGCATGCAAGCTTAGATTTGTGCAGAAAAGATGCAACTGTAAGTTTGGTTTTATATTTCATATTTTGTGATAAATAATATTTAGTGATTAATTGGAGCTTTCTACTTTCACGGTTTGAACTGTAGTGGTTATTGTCCAAGTAGTGCGGCACAACCCTCACTCAAGTCTGAAATCCGCATTAGAATGGTACATTTTGCCTATATTTGGAAGACGTTGATAGGCTGTGCTTGTCAGCTCACACTCTGTGTGCTCCTAGTATACTGTGTGACGCAGAATCACAGGATGGCGCCAGTGGCCTGCTAGCACCATAACCACTACCAGAGGTTAAGGGTCTCCTAATGGAATAATAAAATGAAAGACTTGCATCCAGCTGATATAACTTCTGGAAGCAGGATAAGACGGGACTGGATAAACTCAGATGCTAGGTATCAGGGATGCCATGGGGGCTGATGGTCATGGGACCACTCTCTGTTATTAGTTATAGATTGTTTGTTTGAATCTTAGTACATCTGGTCGACATCTGGAATATGATTGAAGCCTTCCGTGACAATGGCCTTAATACACTGGATCACAACACCGAGATCAACGTGTCCAGACTAGAAACCATTATCTCCTCGATCTACTACCAGCTGAACAAACGCCTTCCATCCACACACCAGATCAGCGTCGACCAGTCCATCAGCCTTCTGCTCAACTTCATGATAGCTGCCTATGACAGGTGTGTGCAGAATTGGAATCGACATCCTGTGATTTGGTCTTCCAAAGTGTCTTATACAACGATGAATTTATCTAGTGGTTAAAGTCCTGATATGTGACCATGGGGAGACTAAATAGCATTCCTTATTAATGGGTGCTCCAAGCACCATAACCACTTCAATGATGTGAAGTAGTCATGGTGCTGGAGTCGTTATGTGTGAATATAACAGGCTAATATCTCATCTGTGCATATTTGGCACCATGTTAATTCTGCTAATTTTTTTGCCATAAAAACAAAATGGTTTCATTTTCAATCAGATGATAATTTATTATGTCATGATTCCCTTTTATTCCAGAAGTTTGGTCCTTAAGGGGTCCTTGAATTCTCTTTTTAGTGAATAACTCAATAATCATTGTGACTCATGTGAGATTCTGAAATGTAATTGACCTCTTACACGGAGTGACAGAGGAGGGTGCGATGTTTTAATGCAAGAAACAGATCAGTGATCATTCTGTTATTGAACAGAGCTAGCCGACAGGTGTCATGAAAGGACTCCTTCCTTTGCTATAGCACCAACATATACTGCAGCGCTGTAAAATTCCAATGTGGAAATAGAAAAAGACAAATTATTACAAGTGTTTAAAGGAAGAGTTTAATGACGATCCTGTTCGAATGAGCTTGCAATGTAGAGGTGATGGAGTGTGAAAGCACAATGGGAAGAGAAACGTGGAGGATTAAATAGCACAAATTATGGCTTTTAAAATGATCACAATCTTCCAGAAAAATGATTTATCTACACAAGTTCCCCTAGACTTTAATGGGGAGTTCTGGAGATAACCATTTTGAACAGTTTTTCTAACAGATTGTGGCCATTTCTAAAGTTTATCTAGAAACATTAAACGGATTCCTAACTTAGAACAGGAGACGAGACCTCATTAAGGATTGAAAGTGATCCCAGGTGGCTATTCTCCACCCGGAGAAGCTAGTTTTAAGAGACTTATTAAAGGTTTGACGAGTTAGGAGAGTCTAATGGGAAATGCAGGCTGTTTCGTAAATGGATCTTGTGTGGGAAATCCTGACAATAGTACGGGCATATAAATATAAAATAAACAAGTGTTTATTAGAAATCACATTGTGCTGTAATGTTTTTTTATTGTAGCCAGTTACAGGCAGACATGGCGTACATGGAGTTAACCCGCTATCTCCCTTCTACCTTACTAACTATTCAAACTGGGCTCTCTCCACCCCCAACTCTAACAGTAGACAGCCTTACGTTTTCATGCCCACCGAGATAAAAACACCACAGTTCATTGTCACTGCTTGCTTTCTCCATTAAGAGGGCCTTTAGCTTGGTCAGCGATTCTTCCGTTTTATTAATAGCTCAGTGACCCACTCTACAATTGTAATATAAAATATAAGAATATATATTCAGCGACACGTCTCCATTAGCCTCCTCCCAGTGTTAGAGCGGACTCTGCTGCTTGGTTGTAGATTAAAGGACGACTAAAAGATGTCGAGGTGAAAGACCCCTCTAGTGACCATCTTCCTGAGAGCTACTAGAGGCACTTTCTTTGAGACATGAGTCGGACTCCGTCAATGCAGCTAATAAAGCGGTATGTGATTAGCACAGTGAATTGCTGCGCATGCACACTAGCCGCCAATGCTTCCTTATGGCGGATCTTGATGATCTCAGCCTAAGAGACGGAGTGAAACCACCTTTTAAATCTTTACGGGGGGAGAGCGGACTCTAAATTGTCAGGGGAACTCTGTAGCGATAGAAATACGTTTGAATTCTATAGTGTTCTTTTAGGCATCAGATGCTCTGTTGTTGGCTAAAGCAGGCCAGGACTCAGAATAGATGCTTACAATTTGGAAGGACAAACTTTCTCTGGGGTGCTTGGGAGAGGCTCACAAAATTCAGAGTGAGGCGGTGGTTTTTCTTGGCCGGGAACAGGGATCTGATGTAATTTCCTCCTAATAAAATACAGTTTGTGTTTTTTAGGTTAAGGATGAGACTGCTGTGCTAGCGGCTAATTACAGCGAAGCATTGCATTCTGGGGGATTATTGTCACTAATTACTGCTGGTGGCAACACTTAATTCTCATTAGAACAGGGAATTACAGGTTTATTTACTACAGTGAGATTTCAAAGTGAATTTCAGATTTAAGGCCAGAGCCCACTTAGAGAACTTTTCCAGTTCAGCTGTTTTGAAATCACTTTCAATTCTCACCTTAGTGAATAAACCTTTTACACTAAAATCAATCTATGCTTTAATTATGGAATGCTTACATTTTTTCTATGGTAGAATCAGTCTACGTAGATAATTGGATGACTTTTAAAACATTAATAAACTGAGCTGAGGCAACTAACTGCATCCGTGTTTGAGCTCACATCCACACGTCTTTCCCATCCGACATTGGGTTTTCTGGCCTGACATTTCTTTTCCCGTCCCACATTGGTTTTCCCGTCCCACATTTCTTTTACCGTCCCACATTGGTTTTCCCGTCTCTCATTGGTTTTCCCTTCTCTCCCTGGTTTTCCCTTCTCTCCTTGGTTTTCCCTTCTCTCCTTGGTTTTCCCGTCTCTCATTGCTTTTCCCGTCTCTCATTGGTTTTCCCTTCTCTCCTTGGTTTTCCCTTCTCTCCTTGGTTTTCCCGTCTCTCATTGCTTTTCCCGTCTCTCATTGGCTTTCCCGTCTCTCATTGGCTTTCCCGTCCCACATTGGTTTTCCCGTCCCACATTGGTTTTCCCGTCCCACGTTGGTTTTACCATCTCTCATGGCTTTTCCCGTCTGACATTGGTTTTACCGTCTCTCATTGGCTTTCCCGTCTCTCATTGGTTTTCCCGTGCCACATTGGTTTTCCCGTCCCACATTGGTATTCCCGTCTGACATTGTTTTTTGTTGTCTGAGAGTCTAAAGGGACAGTAGCGCTAGAGCGGTTACTCCAGTACTGAGCGTGTCCTTATTGATATGAGTGGGATCTCTGCAGGCAGCCATTGCCGATTATAGCATGACGCTGTGTGTGAATGTGCATTGTGTCTCCCATAGTAATAAATAATGCTACAGTGGGTGAGATCTGGTTAAAACAGATTTTGATGTATGTGAATGATTGCTTGGGAATGTTCACCGCGATAGACCAATTCAGATATTCTACTTGATGAGTGTGTTCGCAATGCGGCTGCTTTTACAGTAAAATCCATTGTTGTGTTCCAGCGAAGGCCAAGGGAAGCTGACCGTTTTCTCCGTCAAGGCGATCTTGGCCACCATGTGCGGAGGGAAAATCCTGGACAAACTTCGATGTGAGTACCCTTTCTGAAATTGGCATTGTAGCTGCTATACTGGAACGCGCTGATATTGATTGGCCGGTTTATTACGTAATAAGGTGGATATTAAATGGGTGCTTGATTTACTGGGTATTGTCCGATATGAATGTGCTATAACATTCCTTGAAACGGTAAAGTGGTAAATAAAATGCAAATTAAAACCAGCGACAATGTTTCAGCCCCAGTGATTTCTGGGTATACCTTGCGTTAGTATAACTCCGGAATCCATCCCCCCTATCAGAATGCCCTGTCTCTAAACTGGTCTCTTATTTTGCTTCCAATAGACTCCAGAACAGTTTCAATCAGCTAGCGCCCTCTGCTGGACAAACTGTGGTCAGGTTGGTGTGTGGGAATGTGTGAATTAGATTTACAGTGTACTAACCTCACCCTGACACCGGGAGGAAGTAGCCATTACCTCGAGGATGTAACCTTTTAACCTGCGTCATCAAACTTCATTTACTGACAATCACTGAGTTACGTGGGCTCGTCAATATGAACGAGCTGTGCTCTAACCCTGCACGTGTTATAATGTGCTCGGAACATAGAGTGAGAACACGCTCTGTAGCTGCTGGAGACACTGTGTTTTAAGCGATTAGGGAATGGCTGTCAGAATGAGTGCTATAAATGATTAATTTCTTTAACCCCTTAAGCACACGACATGTGTGACATGTCATGATTCCCTTTTATACCAGAAGTTTGGTCCTTAAGGGGTTAAAGCTTGGTTGTGATAAAGATACAGTCCACGCTATTTGTGGCCTCGGAATACCAGTCTGTTCCTGCTGCGTGCCCATGAAGTGGCCTGATGGCTGCCCTGCCCACTAGTCCACACTAGCCGTGTCCTCCTGAGTATTTACTGCTGAGGCAAAACACGAGCTGGCTTAGCCACTGTTTTATGTTAGCTGTGTCTGTAGGTCATTAGTCTCCTCTGATTGAGCAGAAACCGGCTGTGGCTGAAGTGGCTTGAGGGCTGCACTGCCCACTAGTCCATGCAAGCTGTGTCTGTGGGGGCACTGGTGGGGCAGAGTCTGATATAATGGTGTTTTATTAGTGGCCCAGCCCCCTCTGGTCCATACTGGCTGTGTCTGTGGGGCACTGGTGGGTCCGAGTCTGATATAATGGTGTTTTATTAGTGGCCCAGCCCCCTCTGGTCCATACTGGCTGTGTCTGTGGGGGCACGGGTGGGGCCGAGTCTGATATAATGGTGTTTTATTAGTGGCCCAGCCCCCTCTGGTCCATACTGGCTGTGTCTGTGGGGGCACGGGTGGGGCCGAGTCTGATATAATGGTGTTTTATTAATGGCCCAGCCCCCTCTGGTCCATACTAGCTGTGTCTGTGGGGCACTGGTGGGGCCGAGTCTGATATAATGGTGTTTTATTAGTGGCCCAGCCCCTCTGGTCCATACTGGCTGTGTCTGTGGGGCACTGGTGGGTCCGAGTCTGATATAATGGTGTTTTATTAGTGGCCCAGCCCCCTCTGGTCCATACTGGCTGTGTCTGTGGGGGCACGGGTGGGGCCGAGTCTGATATAATGGTGTTTTATTAATGGCCCAGCCCCCTCTGGTCCATACTAGCTGTGTCTGTGGGGCACTGGTGGGGCCGAGTCTGATATAATGGTGTTTTATTAGTGGCCCAGCCCCTCTGGTCCATACTGGCTGTGTCTGTGGGGCACTGGTGGGTCCGAGTCTGATATAATGGTGTTTTATTAGTGGCCCAGCCCCCTCTGGTCCATACTGGCTGTGTCTGTGGGGACACTGGTGGGGCAGAGTCTGATATAATGGTGTTTTATTAGTGGCCCAGCTCCCTCTGGTCCATACTGGCTGTGTCTGTGGGGCACTGGTGGGCAGAGTCTGATATAATGGTGTTTTATTAATGGCCCAGCCCCCTCTGGTCCAACTGGCTGTGTCTGTGGGGGCACGGGTGGGCAGAGTCTGATATAATGGTGTTTTATTAGTGGCCCAGCTCCCTCTGGTCCATACTGGCTGTGTCTGTGGGGCACTGGTGGGTCCGAGTCTGATATAATGGTGTTTTATTAGTGGCCCAGCCCCTCTGGTCCATACTGGCTGTGTCTGTGGGGCACTGGTGGGCAGAGTCTGATATAATGGTGTTTTATTAGTGGCCCAGCTCCCTCTGGTCCATGCTGGCTGTGTCTGTGGGGCACTGGTGGGCAGAGTCTGATATAATGGTGTTTTATTAATGGCCCAGCCCCCTCTGGTCCAACTGGCTGTGTCTGTGGGGGCACGGGTGGGCAGAGTCTGATATAATGGTGTTTTATTAGTGGCCCAGCTCCCTCTGGTTCATGCTGACTGTATGCGGGGGCACTGGTGGGGCCTAGTCCAATATAGTGGTGTTTTTTATAGCAGGACACTTCTATGGATGAGTGGGCAGAGACTGGGGTGATTGAGCTGCCATGCCAGGCTATTTGATAGGTATTTGGGCAGATCATGATATGTTTGAGCTGTTCTAATTATTGAGATGCCCTGTCTGGCCTTTTACCATCCGTCCTTCGCTAGTCTAGCTCTAGAACATGGTCATTCTTTATCTCTGCTCTGTGCCCTATGTTTCAGGAAGTGTGATCAGAATATCTTTGTGACTTCTACTTTTAATGGACAAAAACGAATTCATTTTCACTAACCCAATAGTGTTTTAGTTTTATAGAAAGTCAAACAGTATTATATCTAATTTAGCACAATATAGTTGCAGCCTGTTCCTACGTTTGAGTATCTTGTAACATTGATAAATATGTCTGGAAGAATTTTGTAGAGGTTATAGAAGAAACGGAAAGTGTGGTGGAGGGCGCACGCTGAGGTTAGAACAATCACACATATTTGTGAATGTTGCAATGTCCTCTTCTGCGTAGGAGACACTTATACATGCTTTCTGTGTGCCTTGTGTTGCTGTTAATTATTTCTATATATTTTGTAGATATTTTCTCCCAGGTGTCAGACTCTAGTGGGTTAATGGTATATGCCAAGTTTGACCAGTTCCTGAGGGAAGTTCTCAAGTTGCCAACGACTGTATTTGAGGGGCCTTCGTTTGGGTACACAGAGCACTCAGCGCGGACGTGTTTCCCACCACAGGTAGTGAACAGTATCGAGCAGCAACCCTTCTATACTATCATTACTTAACCTGAGCCACATACAGTAGCCCTGCTATACTATCATTACTTAACCTGAGTCACATACAGCAGCCCTGCTATACTATCATTACTTAACCTGAGTCACATACAGCAGCCCTGCTATACTATCATTACTTAACCTGAGCCACATACAGCAGCCCTGCTATACTATCATTACTTAACCTGAGTCACATACAGCAGCCCTGCTATACTATCATTACTTAACCTGAGTCACATACAGCAGCCCTGCTATACTATCATTACTTAACCTGAGCCACATACAGCAGCCCTGCTATACTATCATTACTTAACCTGAGCCACATACAGCAGCCCTGCTATACTATCATTACTTAACCTGAGTCACATACAGCAGCCCTGCTATACTATCATTACTTAACCTGAGTCACATACAGCAGCCCTGCTATACTATCATTACTTAACCTGAGTCACATACAGCAGCCCTGCTATACTATCATTACTTAACCTGAGTCACATACAGCAGCCCTGCTATACTATCATTACTTAACCTGAGTCACATACAGCAGCCCTGCTATACTATCATTACTTAACCTGAGCCACATACAGCAACCCTGCTATACTATCATTACTTAACCTGAGTCACATACAGCAGCCCTGCTATACTATCATTACTTAACCTGAGTCACATACAGCAGCCCTGCTATACTATCATTACTTAACCTGAGTCACATACAGCAGCCCTGCTATACTATCATTACTTAACCTGAGTCACATACAGCAGCCCTGCTATACTATCATTACTTAACCTGAGCCACATACAGCAGCCCTGCTATACTATCATTACTTAACCTGAGCACATACAGCAACCCTGCTATACTATCATTACTTAACCTGAGTCACATACAGCAGCCCTGCTATACTATCATTACTTAACCTGAGTCACATACAGCAGCCCTGCTATACTATCATTACTTAACCTGAGCCACATACAGCAGCCCTGCTATACTATCATTACTTAACCTGAGTCACATACAGCAGCCCTGCTATACTATCATTACTTAACCTGAGTCACATACAGCAACCCTGCTATACTATCATTACTTAACCTGAGTCACATACAGCAGCCCTGCTATACTATCATTACTTAACCTGAGCCGCATACAGCAGCCCTGCTATACTATCATTACTTAACCTGAGTCACATACAGCAGCCCTGCTATACTATCATTACTTAACCTGAGCCACATACAGCAGCCCTGCTATACTATCATTACTTAACCTGAGTCACATACAGCAGCCCTGCTATACTATCATTACTTAACCTGAGTCACATACAGCAGCCCTGCTATACTATCATTACTTAACCTGAGTCACATACAGCAGCCCTGCTATACTATCATTACTTAACCTGAGTCACATACAGTAGCCCTGCTATACTATCATTACTTAACCTGAGTCACATACAGCAGCCCTGCTATACTATCATTACTTAACCTGAGTCACATACAGCAGCCCTGCTATACTATCATTACTTAACCTGAGCCACATACAGCAGCCCTGCTATACTATCATTACTTAACCTGAGTCACATACAGCAACCCTGCTATACTATCATTACTTAACCTGAGTCACATACAGCAGCCCTGCTATACTATCATTACTTAACCTGAGCCACATACAGCAACCCTGCTATACTATCATTACTTAACCTGAGCCACATACAGCAGCCCTGCTATACTATCATTACTTAACCTGAGTCACATACAGCAGCCCTGCTATACTATCATTACTTAACCTGAGCCACATACAGCAACCCTGCTATACTATCATTACTTAACCTGAGCCACATACAGCAACCCTGCTATACTATCATTACTTAACCTGAGTCACATACAGTAGCCCTGCTATACTATCATTACTTAACCTGAGTCACATACAGCAACCCTGCTATACTATCATTACTTAACCTGAGCCACATACAGCAGCCCTGCTATACTATCATTACTTAACCTGAGTCACATACAGCAACCCTGCTATACTATCATTACTTAACCTGAGCCACATACAGTAGCCCTGCTATACTATCATTACTTAACCTGAGTCACATACAGCAGCCCTGCTATACTATCATTACTTAACCTGAGTCACATACAGCAGCCCTGCTATACTATCATTACTTAACCTGAGTCACATACAGCAGCCTTGCTATACTATCATTACTTAAAGGAACACTTTAGTGTCAGGAAAACAATCCATTTTTCCTGCACTATAGGGTTATTAGGTTCCCCCCCCTCCCGCTGGGCTGAAGGGGTTTAAACACCTTCAACCACTTACCTTAATCCTCCCCCTGCCCACGTCAGCTCTGAATGCACATGCGCGCCTAGAGCCGTGCGCGCTTTCAAACCGCCCATAGGAAAGCATTACTTAATGCTTTCCTATGGATGTCCAGCATCATCTCAGTGTGATTAACCCTCAATGTAAACATAGCAGTTTCTCTGAAACTATGTTTTCAGCTGCAGGGTGGCACTCTGACCACTTAATTGAGCTGAAGTGGTCTGGGTGCCTATAGTGGTCCTTTAAAGATATACATGCTTAATAAAGCAGTGTTGGTGTATAGATCATGCCTCTGCAGTCTCACTACTCACTTCTCTTTCTTTTTACGCAATCCTAGCCACACCTCCTTTGTCTATGACTGGCACAACCTGCATGAAAAAATGGTTTAATTTTCAACCAAATGTTAACTTACTTTAGAAGCTGTTATCTCCTGCTCTATTAACTAAACTTTAATCACACACAGGTGTCTCCTGCAGGGTCTAGCAAGCTATTAATAGAGCAGGAGATAAGACCTTTTAAATTAAACAGAATTTATAATTAAGGAAGTGTAAACGTTAGATGACTCTTTACAGGAAGTGTTTAGGAAGGCTGTGTAAGTCACATGCAGGGAGGTGTGTCTAGGGCTGCATAAACAAAGGGATTTAACTCCTAAATGGCAGAGAATTGAGCAGTGAGACTACAGGGGCATCATCTATTGTAAACACCCAAACTGCTTCCTTAAGATGAAGTTGTTTTGGTGACTATAGTGTCCCTTTAACCTATACATAACCCCACATACTGCCAGCCCTGACAAAATGTAATTGTTGAATTGTTGCAAAGTGCCTATTATTTGACTGTTTTGTTTTGCAGAAGAAAATAGCACTAAACATGTTTTTAGACACCGTGATGGCTGATCCCCCTCCCCAGTGCCTTGTCTGGTTACCTCTCATGCATCGACTCGCCCACGTGGAAAACGGTGAGTGTTTTATTCTAGTGCTCCCTCTTTTAATGAATATTAATTCTCTCCTCCATCATTGCCCAAAGTTCTGATATGATTTCTGTACTGTTGTCAATCTATGCTTCCGTCCTTGGTAAGCAAATCCATACATATTTATTGATGACACAGAGATCTGTCTGTTTTGTCATGTTCTCTCTCGTTCCCTCTTGTATTGGGTCTCCAGCTGTCTCTGCTAATTCTGATTGAATGGCCGCTCACTCCACTACTGTCTGTAATGAATTCTGCAGCCTCTTACTATCATCAAACAATGATTTAATACATCTTACCCCATTCCTAATTCCAAATATTTAAATAGCGCCGACATATTTTGCTGTGCTGTACAGTACATAAACCAAACAAACGCTTCATTCTAACAAAAAGTTTTGGCATGCTGGAATAGTAGGTAAGCAGCTTACAATGCCCTTAGAATGGACGCCCTTCTTGTTGCAGCAGCTTGTTTGTCCATGTATTGTTAGTGTTTTATAAATGATGAGTAGTTTTGTATTAGAGCGCTATATAATTAGTGTACTCCATCATCTTGTGGTGTTTTTGATTATTGTGGACATCCTCACTGGAAATTCCTTCTGTTTGGTCATATTTAGAATATTTCAAAATATAATTTCCTTTTTTCATGCACTAAACCTGATCGCTTCAAATGAACCCTTTATATAGATATGGTCTTCATAGTAATTTATACCACTGCAAGATGATACTAATTATACCGTGTCCACTGCACGATGATACTAATTATATACCGTGTCCACTGCAAGATGATACTAATTATATACCGTGTCCACTGCACGATGATACTAATTATATACCGTGTACACTGCACGATGATACTAATTATATACCGTGTCCACTGCAAGATGGTACTAATTATATACCGTGTCCACTGCACGATGATACTAATTATATACCGTGTCCACTGCACGATGATACTAATTATATACCGTGTCCACTGCAAGATGATACTAATTATATACCGTGTCCACTGCACGATGATACTAATTATATACTGTGTCCACTGCACGATGATACTAATTATATACTGTGTCCACTGCACGATGATACTAATTATACCGTTCCACTGCACGATGATACTAATTATATACCGTGTACACTGCAAGATGATACTAATTATATACCGTGTCCACTGCACGATGATACTAATTATACCGTGTCCACTGCACGATGATACTAATTATATACCGTGTCCACTGCACGATGGTACTAATTATATACTGTGTCCACTGCACGATGATACTAATTATATACTGTGTCCACTGCACGATGATACTAATTATACCGTGCCCACTGCAAGATTATACAAATTATATACCGTGTCCACTGCAAGATGATACTAATTATATACCGTGTCCACTGCAAGATGATACTAATTATATACCGTGTCCACTGCAAGATGATACTAATTATATACCGTGTCCACTGCAAGATGATACTAATTATACCGTGTCCACTGCACGATGATACTAATTATATACCGTGTCCACTGCACGATGATACTAATTATATACCGTGTACACTGCACGATGATACTAATTATATACTGTGTCCACTGCACGATGATACTAATTATATACTGTGTCCACTGCACGATGATACTAATTATACCGTTCCACTGCACGATGATACTAATTATATACCGTGTACACTGCACGATGGTACTAATTATATACTGTGTCCACTGCACGATGATACTAATTATACCGTGTCCACTGCACGATGATACTAATTATATACCGTGTACACTGCAAGATGATACTAATTATATACCGTGTCCACTGCACGATGGTACTAATTATATACTGTGTCCACTGCACGATGATACTAATTATACCGTGTCCACTGCACGATGATACTAATTATACCGTGTCCACTGCACGATGATACTAATTATACACTGCACGATGATACTAATTATATACAGTGTCCACTGCACGATGATACTAATTATATACTGTGTCCACTGCACGATGATACTAATTATATACCGTGTACACTGCACGATGATAATTATATACAGTGTCCACTGCACGATGATACTAATTATATACCGTGTCCACTGCACGATGATACTAATTATACCGTGTCCACTGCACGATGATACTAATTATACCGTGTCCACTGCACGATGATACTAATTATATACCGTGTCCACTGCACGATGGTACTAATTATATACCGTGTCCACTGCACGATGGTACTAATTATATACCGTGTCCACTGCACGATGATACTAATTATATACTGTGTCCACTGCACGATGATACTAATTTTATACAGGGTCCACTGCACGATGATACTAATTATATACAGTGTCCACTGCACGATGATAATTATATACAGTGTCCACTGCACGATGATAATAATTATACCGTGTACACTGCATGATGATACTAATTATACCGTGTACACTGCACGATGATACTAATTATATACAGTGTCCACTGCACGATGGTACTAATTATATACAGTGTCCACTGCACGATGATAATAATTATACCATGTCCACTGCAAGATGATAATAATTATACCGTGTCCACTGCACGATGATACTAATTATATACCGTGTCCACTGCAAGATGATACTAATTATACTGTGTCCACTGCAAGATGATACTAATTATACCGTGTACACTGCACGATGATACTAATTATACCGTGTCCACTGCAAGATGACACTAATTATATACTGTGTCCACTGCACGATGGTACTAATTATATACAGTGTCCACTGCACGATGGTAATAATTATACCGTGTCCACTGCACGATGATACTAATTATATACCGTGTCCACTGCACGATGGTACTAATTATATACAGTGTCCACTGCACGATGGTACTAATTATATACCGTGTCCACTGCACGATGGTACTAATTATATACAGTGTCCACTGCACGAGGGAACTAATTGTGGCAAGTCGGGGGAGATATGCGGTTGATTCTTATGTAGATGTTAATGTATTCTCTGTATTGCCTGTACTGCTGTTTCCGCCGAATGCAAATGGCGGTTTTGTAAGGGGATTATCCCCTCGTGCAGCAGAACCGGCAATTCATATAAAAATGCATAACTTTTAAAATACACGGTGGATTTACACGAATGGACGTTCGGTAGTTAGCTGGGGTCTGGGCGCATCATTCGTGAGATTGCCGCTCAGATCCCAGCCAAAATAACCGAACGCCGCACAGAAAACACATTTCTTTCAAAACCCACAAAAAGAACCGATTGCTTTTGGTGAACCTGGTCCTGAAACTCCCGAACGTCTTGGAGGCTCAGCGGTGTTCGTGCCGTCGAATAACTATTGGTAATGTTATGCGTTCGACGACCCGGACCCGCTGAAGAACGAGGGATCCAAGATGGCCGACCGCCGCATGGTCGGTAGTCGAACGACGGCCACCCAGGAGAGCCTCTAATAACCGATTGCAACAATGTTGCAATCGGTTAACTAGCGCCACACGCCTCTAAGTGTGTGGGCTATTAGGGGGTATCGCGTTCGGTTCACGAACGGCTTTCTAAAGTGCCGTTCGTGAAACGAAGGACAATCCCCATACAAAACCGCCATTTGCATTCGGCGGAAACAGCAGTACAGGCAATACAGAGAATACATTAACATCTACATAAGAATCAACCGCATATCTCCCCCGACTTGTAGGCAACCCTTAAAGGCACAGTCTCTAGTTATTGTCCAAGTGGCTAGGTTTGCCACAATGTTCCCCCAGAACCAAGCCGGCATACACAGTCTGATCCCAACGGATCGGCTTGGGGATGTCCGGAGGAGTGCTCACAGATCATTTCTCAAGGTCTGTTTGTCGGGACAACCCGTCGGCATTACCGTTTTGTTTCCCTGGGCGGTAGTGAATTGTAAAGTCAAAGGGCTGCAGCGCTAAACTCCAGCGCAGCAGCCTGGCATTGTCTCCAGCCACACGGTTTAGCCACACCAACGGGTTGTGATCTGTGAGCAAAGAAAAGGGTTGCCCATAGAGATATGGCTGTAACTTTTTCAGGGCCCACACCACGGCCAGGCATTCTTTTTCTATGGCGGCGTAGCTCACCTCTCGGGGTAACAATTTCCGACTCAAGTATGCTACGGGGTGTTCTCCGCCATCGGCTCCGACCTGGCTCAGTACTGCTCCCAATCCAAACATTGAGGCGTCTGTGTGAACAAGAAAACGTTTAGTTGGATCGGGAGCTGCCAGTACAGGGGCATTGGTCAGAGCCGTCTTCAGCTGATTGAATGCCTGTTCACACTCTGGGGCCCAGACGACCTGCCGGGGCAGGTTTTTCTTCGTCAAATCAGTCAGGGGTTTGGCCAGGGCACTGTAGTTGGGTACAAATTTTCTGTAGTACCCTGCGGTACCTAGGAAAGCCAGGACTTGGGTTTTGGTCCTAGGGGTAGGCCACTGGGCTACAGCTTCAATCTTTGCGGGCTCAGGCTTCTGCTGCCCGCTACCAACCCGGTGTCCTAAGTACTGGACCTCTGCCATCCCTATGTGGCATTTGCTGGGTTTCAAGGTAAGCCCTGCCTCTCGGATCCGATCTATTACAGCCCCTATGTGTTGTAGGTGCTCCGACCAGGTCTGACTGTATATGGCAATATCGTCCAGATATGCACACGCATAGTCCTGGAACCCGTCCAGTAGCCGATCCACCATCCGCTGGAAGGTCGCGGGGGCGTTCTTCATCCCGAATGGCATGACTCGAAATTGGTACAAGCCAAACGGGGTGACAAACGCCGACTTAGGGATGGCGTCCTCGGCTAGTGGAATTTGCCAGTATCCCTTACACAAATCTATGGTCGTGAGATACTGACCCCTGGCCATCCTATCCAGCAGTTCGTCTATCCGAGGCATCGGGTAGGCGTCCGACACAGTTTTGTCATTCAACCTCCGGTAGTCCACGCAGAACCGGGTGGTACCATCTTTCTTGGGAACCAGGACTACCGGCGATGCCCAGGGGCTATCTGAGTGCTCAATAACCCCCAACTGCAACATCTCTTCAATTTCTTTTCTCATATGTTCCCGCACGGATTCGGGAATCCGATAGGGCGTCTGTCGCATGGGAAGCTGTCCCGGGGTTTCTACTCGGTGGGTGGCTAGTGGAGTGTACCCAGGTAGGTTAGAAAAGGCGGCGCCCTTGGTTGCTATCAGTTCTTGTACCTGGATACGCTCTTGAGGACTTAGCCGCTCCCCCAGTTGAACCCCCTGGGAGGGTTCCTTCTGCTCCTCCTGCTCTAACAGATCTGGAAGGGGCAGGTTCTCCTGATCTTCGGAGGCGGGCGTGCAAATAGCTGCCACGTCCTCCGTCCGCTCGTGGTAGGGTTTGAGCATGTTCACATGGAGCATGCGTCTCTTCCCTACTCCTGAGCATGGGCCGATCACATAGGTGGTATCGCATCTCTGCTCTACCACCTGGTATGGGCCCTGCCAGACGGCCTGTAGTTTATCGGTGCGGACAGGTTTAAGGATTAGTACCTTCTGTCCCACTTGAAAACTACGGTCTCTGGCCCCCCTGTCATACCAACGGCGCTGTCGTTGTTGGGCGGCCTGGAGGTTGGTGCGCACTGCCTGGGTCAATTCCTCCAGGTGATCCCGGAACGCCAGCACGTAGGGTACAATTGGGGTCCCATCTGCGCTACTCTCTCCCTCCCAATGCTCTCTAATGAGATCCAACGGCCCCCGGACCCTTCTCCCAAATAATAGCTCAAATGGGGAGAAACCGGTGGACTCTTGGGGCACCTCCCTGTATGCAAATAACAGATGGGGAAGAAATCGTTCCCAGTCCTTATGGGTCTCTCCGAATGTCCGGAGCATCTGTTTTAGGGTGCCGTTGAATCTCTCACATAATCCATTGGATTGCGGGTGGTAGGCGGAGTTAATGATTGGCTTAATGCCACATATCCTCCATAACTGCTGAGTAACCTCAGCCGTGAATTGCGTCCCCCTATCGGAGACCATTTCCTGTGGGAACCCTACTCGGGAGAATATCTTCATCAAGGCTTCGGCTACGGTCTCCGCGTGGATATTCGTTAGGGCAATCGCCTCGGGGTACCGGGTGGCGTAATCCACCACGGTCAGGATATACCGTTTCCCAGCGGGGCTGGGTTTTGGTATTGGCGCTACTATATCCACTGCTACACGGCTAAACGGTTCCTCAATGATAGGTAGGGGACACAGTTTCGCCTTGTGGCGGTCCCCCCTCTTGCCTACCCTCTGGCACACATCACAGGAGGTACAATATTGTCTCACATCTTTAGAAATCCCAGGCCAAAAGAAAGCGTGCGTTAAGCGATACCGGGTCCGGGTCATCCCTAGATGGCCGGACAGAGGGATATCATGGGCGATTCTTAGTAACTCCTGCCTATACTTCTGGGGCACTACTAGCTGCTTAGTTTGGAGCGTCACAGAGTTGCCTATTGCCCTTTCCGCCACCCGGTATAGTAACTTCTTCTCCCACCTGTACTGTTCTCCCTCCCGCCCCACCTGGTCCGTATCTACCCTATCCCGGTATACCTGCAGTGTGGGGTCGGTCTGCACCTCTACTTCAAACGTGGACGGGGTGTCCCAAGTCATGTCTGTCAAGGGGGGGTCATGAGTTCTTACCTGAGCCTCAGAGTGTGCGGGGAATGCCGTGGTGCGAGCCTGTTGCCGGGTGGTTACCGGATGCGCCTCTTGTGACGGGGCCTGGGGTAGAAAAGCAGAAGTCATCTGGCCCAAGTCATTCCCCAAAACAACATCGGCCGGTAGCTTTTTCATTATGGCCACTTCCACAACCCCCTCCCCAGCACCCCAATTCAAATGTACCTTGGCCGTGGGTAACCGGTACATGGCTCCCCCTGCTACCCGGACTGCCACTGATCCGCCAGTGTGGGCCGTATCTGGAATTAAATGGGGGGCCACTAAGGTCAAGGTGGCTCCTGAGTCCCGCAGCCCCTGCACTTCTTTCCCTCCCACAAACACAACTTGGCGGTGATGTTGCCGGTTGTCCGTGGCTTGCACAGACATCACCTCGTACAGAACCCCCAATGGTTCCTCGGTTGGTATACTGGTCAGCTCCGAGTGGTCAGGTTCTGCGTGGTAGAAATGGGCCGCCGCCCTGGGAACGGAATTCTGCCGTACCTGGTTCCACGCCTGCCTGCTACGATTCTGGGTGCACTCCCGGGACATATGCCCCCACTGCCGGCAGGTATGGCATTGTATGTTGGCCCTGCCATTGTAGCGGGCTGGCGGTGGGGGGTTTCCTGGTGGTGGCCTGAATGGGGTAGGGTTGGCGGGTGTGGAGCTGGCTGGGTGGTGTGGTATTGGCGGTCTTAGGGGACCCCTGTTGGTGAGCCCGTGGTGTCTCCGGGCATCAAAGTGTTCGTCTGCCAATCGGGCGGCTGCTGTGAGGGTGAGAGGTTTTCGGTCCCTTACCCACTCCTGTGCCTCTGGTGACAGACCGTTGAAGAATTGCTCCAGCAAGATGAGTTGGCGCAGTTCCTCCATGGTGGTGGCTTGACTTGCCTGAATCCACCCTTGGGAAGCTTGGTCCAGCTTATGCGCCCATTCTGCGTGGGAATCTCTTTCGGGCTTTTTCAATCCCCGAAATTTCCGTCTGTATGCCTCTGGGGTTATGGCATATCTTTCTAGTATTGCTCTTTTTACTTTAAAATAGTCCTTGCTGTCCTCTCTGGGCACAGCGCGGTAAGCCTCTGCTGCTCGTCCCGCCAACTTGCCTGCCAGTAAGGGTACCCACATCGTCGGTTCCAGATCGTGCAGATCGCATAGCCTCTCGAAATCCTGCAGATATCCGTCTATCTCATCCTTCTCTTCGCAGAATGCTTTAAATGCCTGGTACGGTATTTTCTGCTTTGTTGGAGGGCAGAATGAGTTGACGATGGATTCCGCCCTGGATGGTGACCTCTGGGGTTGCTGTGCCATAATGTAGTCCTGGACGTCGGCCATTAGCACGGTTAAGATGTCCAGGGTTACTGGCTGTGGTACAAATTCCAGCCGGGTTCTCAGTTCCCTCTGGTATGGTGTTTCCTCTCTGGCAGGTGGGGGTGGACTGCTGTGTGCTTGGTCGTCCTCCATTAGCTCTGCAATCAGTACTGCCTTCGATTTGTTGCTAGCGATTTTCCCTCTAGCCTCCAGCAGCTCCTTTAGCGTCTGTCTCTTTAACGCCGTGTAATCAGTCCCCATTCACTGATCGCTTTCGTCTATTTGTTTCATACGAATTGCCTTTCCGTTCGGTTGTTCCTTTCATTCGAATGCGCTGTATTCGGCTGTAGAGTTGGATCCCGTCGCTTGCCACCAATTGTAGCGGAACGCCAATATTAAATCCACGAATTCCGCTGGTCCAGAAACGAATCCACAGTCAAGCGCTGAAAACACCAAGGCAATATCCCCAACCTCCCAATAACCGGACGAGACACAGTTTTGGGAGTCAACTGACAATCCTTTAATCGGCACGACAATTTATACAAGTCCCCATGCAAGGGGTTTCCTGAGTCCCTTCCCAGGGGCACTCCCAGAGGGGACTACATGGGGGACTTACAGTATAACATATTTCTCCCATCAGGCACTGCTGCACGAGAGGGATCATCCTCCCAGAATGCACCGTTAAGGGGATTATCCCCTCGTGCAGCAGAACCGGCAATTCATATAAAAATGCATAACTTTTAAAATACACGGTGGATTTACACGAATGGACGTTCGGTAGTTAGCTGGGGTCTGGGCGCATCATTCGTGAGATTGCCGCTCAGATCCCAGCCAGAATAACCGAACGCCGCACAGAAAACACATTTCTTTCAAAACCCACAAAAAGAACCGATTGCTTTTGGTGAACCTGGTCCTGAAACTCCCGAACGTCTTGGAGGCTCAGCGGTGTTCGTGCCGTCGAATAACTATTGGTAATGTTATGCGTTCGACGACCCGGACCCGCTGAAGAACGAGGGATCCAAGATGGCCGACCGCCGCATGGTCGGTAGTCGAACGACGGCCACCCAGGAGAGCCTCTAATAACCGATTGCAACAATGTTGCAATCGGTTAACTAGCGCCACACGCCTCTAAGTGTGTGGGCTATTAGGGGGTATCGCGTTCGGTTCACGAACGGCTTTCTAAAGTGCCGTTCGTGAAACGAAGGAAAATCCCCATACAAAACCGCCATTTGCATTCGGCGGAAACAGCAGTACAGGCAATACAGAGAATACATTAACATCTACATAAGAATCAACCGCATATCTCCCCCGACTTGTAGGCAACCCTTAAAGGCACAGTCTCTAGTTATTGTCCAAGTGGCTAGGTTTGCCACACTAATTATATACCGAGTCCACTGCACGATGGTACTAATTATATACCGAGTCCACTGCACGATGGTATTAATTATATACCGTGTCCACTGCACGATGGTACTAATTATATACTGTGTCCACTGCACGATGGTACTAATTGTATACTGTGTCCACTGCACGATGATACTAATTATATACCCTGTCCACTGCAAGATAATACTAATTATATACAGTGTCCACTGCACGATGATACTAATTATATACAGTGTCCACTGCACGATGATACTAATTATATACTGTAACGGACCGTTTTGCCCACAAGAGGTTAAAACTTGTTTAGGCGATATTCCCCTTTTTTCAGATGCACAGACAGCTACTGCAAGCACCACTCTCCCGAACTGCAAACACACAAATACTGGAAACAGCCGAATAGGAAAAACCATGCGAATAGGTTTACACTCCTAGCAGTCAAACTGGAACAGCATACAATAAATCCTCCCCCAATAATGAGACGACACTTCACTTTGAGGGTTAAGCAGGAACTCTCTGTAATGGCCACACACTGGCTTTTATGCAAGTCCCCATGCAAGGGGACATCCTACAGGGTGGGACACAGTACAACCAATCGTTACAGGGGAACCGTAAAACACACCCACAATTACATCACAATCCCTCCTCTCTGTCCTGGAGATAATTGTGAAGTAATCAAATTATCTCCAAGGACAGAGGCAAGACTCCATTAACCACGTGGCAGACAAAAGACAATAAAAGACATAAAAATACATACTGTTACATTTATCACATAGAACATACACATTCTACCTATCCCCAGATAGCTTAGATCTGAGCGCACATTATTACTGAATGGCGCTCAGATCACATACATACAGTTCAATCGCCATGGAGCCAAAGTCTTTCATACAGTCTTTCAGTATACAGCTGGGCTCCATGGCATAGCTATCTGGGGTAGCATGGCTTTAACAGTCTACAGAAAGGCTTTGCAGGGAAAATAAAAGGTTTTAACTACAGAGCCATAGTCTAAAGGGAGCAGGCGAGCAACCAGGCTTCTCCAGTGGACAGTGGCGAGGCTGGTTTCGCCACATATACAGTGTCCACTGCACGATGGTACTAATTATATACTGTGTCCACTGCACGATGATACTAATTATATACCGTGTCCACTGAACGATGGTACTAATTATATACTGTGTCCACTGCACGATGATACTAATTATATACCGTGTCCACTTCACGATGGTACTAATTATATACTGTGTCCACTGCACGATGATACTAATTATATACAGTGTCCACTGCACGATGATACTAATTATACCGTGCCCACTGCAAGATTATACAAATTATACAGTGTTCAGTGCAGGATGATACTAATTAGTATCATCTTGCAGCGGACACGGTATAATTAGTATCATCTCGAACTGTAAATGTATCGTTGGATTTTAGGAATCGACCAATATTGATTTTGTTTAGAGCCCATACCGATAATCTGTGAACTTTCAGGCCGATAGCCGATAACTTACCGATATTCTGTACATTTACCATTTTGAAAAAATAAACTATTTCTAAAGGTATATGCACAAAATATACATGCCACATGTAATGGATGCAGTGTGTTTAGACAGGGGGGCTGTGTGTGTTTGTGTAGTGTGTTTATAGTGGATGCAGTGTGTATTTGTTTAGTGTGTATATAATGAATGCAGAGTGTGTCTGTGTAGTGTGTATACAGAATGCAGAGTGTGTTTGTGTAGTGTGTGTATATAATGAATGCAGAGTGTGTTTGTGTAGTGTATAATGAATGCAGAGTGTGTGTAGAGCGAATGCAGTGCTAGTAGTGTGTGTATAGTGGATGCAGTGTGTTTGTGTATAGTGAATGCAGTGTGCGCGTATAGTGAATGCAGTGTGTTTGTGTAGTGTGTTTATATAATGAATGCAGTGTGTGTTTGTGTAGTGTGTGTATAGTGCATGCAGTGTGTTTGTGTAGTGTGTATAGTGAATTCATTGTGTTTGTGTCATTTGTGTATAGTGAATGCAGTCTGTTTGTGTAGTGTTTATATAATGAATGCAGAGTGTGTGTATAGTGTATAGGGAATGCAGTGTGTTTGTAGTGTGTGTATAGTGAATGCAGTGTGTGTTTGTGTAGTGTGTCTATAGTGAATGCAGTGTGTTTGTGTAGTGTGTGTACATAATGAACACAGATTGTGTGTGTTTGTGTAGTGTTTAATAATGAATGCAGAGTGTGTGTTTGTGTAGTGTGTGTACAAAATGAATGCAGAGTGTGTATAGTGAATGCAGTGTGTTTGTGTAGTGTGTGTATATATAATGCAGAGTGTGTTTGTTTCTGTAAGTGTGTAATTTGTGTAAAATGGGGGGAGAAAGGGGGCCTTTTTTAGTAAATTTTTTTTTTTTTTTTAGTCCCCCTCCCCCCCCCTGCTTGTTACCTGGCCAGGGAGGGGAGATATGGCATTCCCTCGTGGTCCGGTGGCATGGACTCTGCAGAGGGGGCCCAGCACACTCTTACTTACCTTCCCAGCAGCTCCCCTGTCTAACACTAAGAGTGTGCTTGGTCCCCCAGGACCCTGATGGCGGCCCTGGTCTGCATTATCAGCAATATCGGTATCTTTATTGGCCGATAACGATATTGCTGAAAATACAGAATATCGGCCAGACCGATAATCGGTCGATCCCTAGTGGATTTCACTCATTGAGGATTTATTATTACAGCGAGAACACGAGATGTAAGTATTTTTGATGAGTTACAAAATTAACAGACGCAGGGAATATTATTTAGTCTATGGCTATGTGCAGGATTCATTTTGGGGGACTTTATGGTGTCTGTGTAATGTGTCCATCGTGGTCTGTCTGCAGTATATGGACTCACAACAGTGTATGACATGTGTTCTCTCCACAATTTCTCTTTGCAGTGTCTGTATTACGTTCCGTGTGCAGCGTCTGTATTACGTTCCGTGTGCAGTGTCTGTATTACGTTCCGTGTGCAGTGTCTGTATTACGTTCCGTGTGCAGTGTCTGTATTACGTTCCGTGTGCAGCGTCTGTATTACGTTCCGTGTGCAGCGTCTGTATTACGTTCCGCACGTAGTGTCTGTAACATGTTCCACGTGCAGTGTCTGTATTACGTTCCGCACGTAGTGTCTGTAACATGTTCCACGTGCAGTGTCTGTAACATGTTCCGTGTGCAGCGTCTGTATTACGTTCCGCACGTAGTGTCTGTAACATGTTCCATGTGCAGTGTCTGTAACACGTTCCGTGTTTTCTGTCTGCAGTGTCTGCAACACATTTTGTGTGTTCTCTTTGACAATCCGTAGATAGGAATCTATTTTTAATTGTTTTTATTTAATTGCACTGGATGTGTAAACATTATTATAAGCAAAAATTTTACAATTACTTGTCCCCCCACCCCAATATTTTCTATTCAATCTACACATTATGTTGTGTTGGTTATCATATGTTAAATGAGTGTCTGCAGCACATTTCGTGTGTTCTCTTTGCAATGTCTGTATCACGTTTCGTGTTTTCTGTCTGCAATGTCTGTAACACTTCCTGTGTGTTCTCTCAACAGTGTCTGTAGAACGTTCCATGTGTTCTGTTTGCATTGTCTGTAACACGTTTTGTGTGTTCTCTTTGCAGTGTCTGTAACACGTTTTGTGTGTTCTCGTTGCATTGTCTGTAACACGTTTTGTGTGTTCTCTTTGCATTGTCTGTAACACGTTTTGTGTGTTCTGTTTGCAATGTCTGTAACACGTTTTGTGTGTTCTGTTTGCAGTGTCTGTAACACGTTTTGTGTGTTCTGTTTGCATTGTCTGTAACACGTTTTGTGTGTTCTCGTTGCATTGTCTGTAACACGTTTTGTGTGTTCTCGTTGCATTGTCTATAACACGTTTTGTGTGTTCTCTTTGCAGTGTTCCATCCTGTGGAATGTTCTTTCTGCCTAAATGAAAGTATGATGGGCTTTAGGTACAGATGTCAGCAGTGCCACAACTACCAGCTCTGCCAGAACTGCTTTTGGCGTGGCCACGCAAATGGCCCTCATAGCAACCAGCATCAAATGAAAGAGCATTCTTCCTGGGTAAGAACCCCATTTACATTCCAAAATAGTTTTACGTCTAAAACTTGTTCAAGTGCTTAATGTGTGTCCTCTTTTTCTCATTTTATAAAAAGTGCAGCTTTGAATAGAAATATTCACTTTTATAAATAAACTTTGTTACACCCCCCTGGCTATCAATCAGACAACCAGTCATGTTACTTCCTGGTTTGTTTAGCTCAGTGGTGATAAACTCAACGGGCAGCAATTGCCCAGAGCACCTGCCTTGCAAAGACGTCTCATTGAGCTGCATTGAGAAGGCTGTGATTGGACAGCCACAGAAAGTCTGGGCGGAGTTAGAAGGGGAGGGCTTGTTGTTAGATATATCCCCAATGAAAAATTAAATAAAAAATGATATGCATGGAAGTTTCCGTTGGAGGTATATACACCCCCACTAACCCTATAGAAACCCCCCCACTAACCCTATAGAAACCCCTCCCCACTAACCCTATACAAACCCCCCACACTAACCCTATACAAACCCCCCCACACTAACCCTATAAAACCAGCACACTCACAGGATACCATCCCCCACATTAACGCTATACCAACCATACACTTTACCCAATGCTTACATTAGGTATGCCTACCCTAATCGTACCCTTAACTTCAAGACTAAACTATCTTTAACCCTAAAACAACATTAACCCATTCCCAGCATTAATCCTTACCTTAAACTAACCCTATAGCTAACCATATCCCAATACTAAGTATTACCTTCCCTACTCTTAGATCATCCCCTCCCCTAATAACCCCAACCCTAACACTAAGATAACCCACTGCTAATATCAATTCTGAGATTACAATTGGGTTTCACTATTTAACACAGTCGATGGTATGTTGCCACCATCTATTGGCCATGTTTAGAATTACACTTAGTGTAATTGTGGGTGAGCCTGGTGGCTGGGATATATCCGCCATCGTATGCACTGCTTCTGTAAGAGCGGTACATTTCATACAGGTTCTGTTCGTCCTATTTATTTAGCATTGTATCGTTACTACAGCCCCCCTGACAGCACAACAGTGAAGACGTCATTATTCAATATCTACAGCTCAATGCTAATTCCGTGGTTGTCTACTTTGTTTTTATATGATTTCAAATGGCAATTGAAACGGGCATTTTGAACATGACTTTAACTCAATATTTTACTAGTTGTTTGGTCAAATTAACATTTGGTCAGTGAACTGACATGTGCCAATTGTTTGAGCAATTGGACTGTGAACTCGACCCTGTGAGCCTGGGAGCTTCAGGAAATGAATCAGGGATTTGTGCGCGAAGGAAAAAAATAGCTTTCCCCTCCCACCCACTGTGCGATCCCTCCCGCCTATGTCTATTACTTGTATTTTGTTCTTTTTTGTTTTTTTCTTTTACTTAAAACTTCCTCACTCTGAAATTGCCTCTCCCCTTCCTTCACTGGCTCACTGACTATGGTCCAATCATAGGATTCTGTATTAAGCAGATGTTACATTTTAGGTATTTAGTGCAATAGTTTGGTTGGTCCGTGAACAAGTTCATTCTCCCACTACAATGCCCATTCGCATTGTCCATGTGTTCATCGAATTCTGCCTCTGAATCACAAAGCAAATTAAAATGACCATGGACAAACAAAATCTTTGCACATTAATTACATTTCCTTTAGTGATTTAATTTTTTAATTCTTTATTTTTGCAGTGCAAAGAGAAACAAGCACACTTCTTATACCCCAACAGCATAAACAAACATCTTAGAACACATAGTAAAACAAATGTGTGCAGGCGATAGTAATGCCCCATTTTTAAAATGAATAAAAACAAGATATGTTCTCTTGTCTAAACGTTGGACAGATGTTAAACTGACATGCATGAGGAGTAATAGTCCATGGCCCCAGGGTTGCAGTGTAGTGCTTGCGTATGATAGCCATGGCAAGTTTACAAGGAGCCTTTATTTCATGTTGTTACAGTTATATGGACAAAATGGAGCTGAGCATTTGTTTGTTTTGGTGGGGCTGAGGGTTGTTTTCGGCAAGGAAAAAAAGGAATTCTGGGAAGAAGACTTGCTGGAGAAATGTATGGGCTGTTTATTACCCATTTCGTGCAAATGACCCAATCCCCCGCACTGTGTGTGGTCTAGTGTCTGGGAGGAGCTTTAATCACTAAAGTGCGATTTTCTCCTGGAATAAAAAAACTGCAACGGAGGTACTCCTCTCCGCTACAAGTATTCTATAATAAAACAAGCTTAGAAGAGACATTCTCAGTGTGGGATAGTAAGCGAAAGATCAATGCATAAATTGTCATATAATGTCCAGCTTTATCCCCCCAGGAGGCACCCTGTCATGGCAGCTAGAGATGTTCTTAAACAAGAGTAAAAAAGGTAACCGGTTAAGCACCTTCAGGATCCCAAAGCAAAAGTATATTCCAAAGGTATAGCTATGAAGAGCATAAAAAGTAATGCTATTTTACGTCCCTTATCAAAGAAGACCTGAGGTGTGAAGAATAAAAATAAAGGAGCCTGAGTCCCAGAGAGTCCCATAACACATCCCCCTCTTAGCTTATGCCCTCAAGAGGTAGAGTGCAGTCCAATTGTATGGAGAAGCATTTCAGGCCCAATTTGCAGCCAACGCTGGAGTCACGCCACCTTCAGTTGCTGCATGAGCACCACTGTCCCCTTTGGGAACTCTGATTCGGGCCTCAAAAGGTAGGAAGATGCAGGTTGAGAAGCCAACCTCTTGCGATGGGGTCTAGCTGCGACCAAAGTCAACGGTGTATTGATATTAAGGTGGGAGATCTCGTCCACTCTTTCACCATTGTTAGTCTCTCCGCATTGTGACAACCATGTGGTTGCAATGAGAGCGTGGTGATAACACCACATGTGATTGGTCACTTGTTTGTTGCTCAATAGCCTGTCTCTCTCAGAGTGCCAATTATCTCCAAAAGTCAGCAAATATGTTATCCAGCTTGGCCACGATGTCTGGCATCTGCCATGATGTGTCTTCGTGTCAGCAGTCTGCTTGCTTGGCATCAACTCTCGTGCCTGACACAGCCTGGTTTCTGCATTATTTTGTATCAACAACACACAAGATGTATGAAAAGCGGATCAGGTGCCTGCGAGTCTCAGATTTCCTTACAGAAAGTATTCAATCTCAGGCCGTGGGCTCTATTTAATTGTGGTTATCAGATGATTTCATTTCCAATGACTTCTAATGAACTGAGAATAGTCTCCAACACAGCTAAACCATCAAGAAATGTTATTTGGCTTGTTTAGGATCTTACATAATTCTTCACAGCTTCTCCCCAAAGTATTGAAGATCCAAACTGATTCTCTCTCTGTACCTGCCAGTATTACAAGAAGCCTAATGCTTATCAATATACTTTCTTTATATACAGATAAGTGGGAGACATCTGGCTATACAGATCAGACCTATTGTAATTCCCAAATTTTGAGAGAGGTTATTTATAGTTTCCATGGTCATATGTCTTGAATTGGCCATATCCTCCTTTTATTGCATTATGAGTTTCTTCTTACGTATGAAGTTGGAGTAAAGGGTAGCTGTTATGACAAATACAACTTAATTGTAATGTTAGAGAATCAAACTATATGTATAGGTTGTCCTAGCATATGTTTTGATTTCTCTAAAATCAGAGGTTAAAAAACCTCTTCCTGTTAGTCCGTTCAGTCTGTGCCGAACCTGTGCAATTCTTCAGAGATAAGAAGGCCGTGCTCTGCATGTCTGTTACTATAGAATCCTCTCTCCTGCTTGAATTCATCCTAAAGGAAAACAATGCCTGCAAGGGGAAGAAGGGAGGAGGGGCGGGTTCTGTGTGAGAGCAGCAGCACGGAGAGAGGAGAGAAAAGGCCAGAATGGTTATTGCAGCAGCTTCGAACAGGCAATCTAACAATGGATAGAGAGAACAGATACGTTTTATTTACAGAAAGCATTAAAGTGCATAAAGCATAAAGTATGATTTTTTTTAACCTGTTATGAGAAGTAAGTCTCTCCTTCCCAAAGAGGAGTATGCCGGAGGGGTGCGTCTTACAGCAACTGTAACAACTGAAAATTGACTGATGATCTCGGAGACAGGGATAATGAAAATAAATTTTAAAAAATGAGCTTTTAATAGTATTTAAGGGACAAAACACTTCAATTGTAAAACAGGAGTCAAACCAGATGTTTATAAAACTACAAAGCATTATCTGTTACAATAGGTTCACTTGAAATACACCTTTGTTTATTTTTCATGGATTTTTGAACAATTCTGCTTTTTATCATTCACTACAAAACTAAGATAGACCTGTATATTTTGGTGAATATCAGTGGTTCTTAATGTGAGATGATGCCTGTCAGGATATATTAACAGCGGGAAACACAGCCCTTCCCGAGGCAGGGTATACGCTATAATCTGTCTCTGTATGTCACTTGTCTTGGGATGAATAGTTTATTTCCTGTTTGGATTCATCAATCCTAGTAGTTAAAGGGTTACTCCAACCACCATGACCATAGAAACATAGAATGTGACGGCAGATAAGAACCATTCGGCCCATCGAGTCTGCCCAATTTTCTAAATACTTTCATTAGTCCCTGGCCTTATCTTATAGTTAGGATAGCCTTATGCCTATCCCACGCATGCTTAAACTCCATTACTGTGTTAACCTCTACCACTTCAGCTGGAAGGCTATTCCATGTATCCACTACTCTCTCAGTAAAGTAATACTTCCTGATATTATTTTTAAACCTTTGTCCCTCTAATTTAAGATTGTCCTCTTGTTGTGGTAGTTTTTCTTCTTTTAAATATAGTCTCCTCCTTTACTGTGTTGATTCCTTTATATATTTAAATGTTTCTATCATATCCCCCCTGTCTCGTCTTTCCTCCAAGCTATACATGTTAAGATCCTTTAACCTTTCCTGGTAAGTTTTATCCCGCAATCCATGAACCAGTTTATTAGCCCTTCTCTGAACCCTCTCTAAGGTATCAATATCCTTCTGAAGATACGGTCTCCAGTACTGTGTACAATACTCCAAGTGAGGTCTCACCAGTGTTCTGTACAATGGCATGAGCACTTCCCTCTTTCTACTGCTAATACCTCTCCCTATACAACCAAGCATTCTGCTAGCATTAGGTTAGTACTCTATCAAATATTCTGTACTCTGCCCTTGGGTTTTTACGTCCAAGATGCATTATCTTGCACTTATCCACATTAAATGTCAGTTGCCACAATTCTGACCATTTTTCTAGTTTACCTAAATCATTTGTCATTTGGCTTATCCCTCCTGGAACATCAACCTGTTACATATCTTAGTATCATCAGCAAAAAGAGATACCTTACCATCAAGACCTTCTGCAATATCACTAATAAAAATATTAAAGAGAATGGGTCCAAGTACAGATCCCTGAGGTACCCCACTGGTGACAAGTCCAAGCTTCGAATATATTCCATTAGCTACAACCCTCTGTTGCCTGTTACTCAGCCACTGCCTTACCCATTCAACAATATTTGAATCCAAACTTAAAGATTGCAGTTTATTGATAAGCCTTCTATGTGCAACAGTGTCAAAAACCTTACTGAAATCTAGGTAAGCAATGTCTACTGCACCACCCTGATCTATAATTTTAGTTACCCAATCAAAAAATCAATAAGATTAGTTTGGCATGATCTCCCTGAAATAAACCCATGTTGTCTCTGATCTTGAAATCCATGTGTTTTAAATGTTCATCAATCCTATCCTTTAACATGGTTTCCATCACTTTCCCCACTACTGAAGTAAGGCTCACTGGCCTATAGTTGACCAACTCCTCCCTATTACCTTTCTTGTAAATGGGCACAACATTCGCTAACTTCCAATCTTCTGGGACTACTCCTGTTAACAATGATTGGTTAAATAAATCTGTTAATGGTTTTGCTAGTACACCATTTCTGCTTTCAATGACGGTGGTGGGATCCTTCATTATGTTCGGCGTTTTCTGCTTGAAACTCTACACGTACAGAGATATAGTTAGTTTTGTGCTGGGGGCTAAGACATCCCCAGCACACGTGACTTAGGCTGCTTATTGTGAATCCTACGAAAAATTCACATATGTCGCCAGAGAACGCAGTGCGCCGTCAGCAGGCATTGAAGGTCTCCCTCCCATCCATCACTCCCTCCTTCATTGAGGTCTCTGCCTATTCTATTCATAGTGCTCATGTTGTTTTTTAATTCCCACTCTCGCTCTGTCCCTCGATCACCTTGCAAGTTCACAGCGCGCATGCACTCTGACGACCAAAGGCATCTCTGTGGGAAACCGCACGAGGCCGCATGGTGACATCTCATGGAGACGTGGATGGCTACGCTGGGAGCACCTCTCAGCCCTGGATTCCAGGTAAGTAAAAAAACTTTAAATGCAGGTTTCACCGCTAAATTTACAGGTGGGGGGCCTAATGAACAGTACGCTTTGGACATTTTAAATAAAAAACCACAGTTTAAAGAAATAAAATTTAGATAGTGTTGGAGTAACCTTTTAAGGTCACTAACATTGCATAATCCTGTTTATTTTTGACGCAGCACAGCGTTATTAACGATAACTTACCTCTAATTATACGCGTGTGAAGAGAAGGCTCGATATGCTGCTATTACAGCCTACAATACCCTATACCGGTGTATTTTATATAGTCAATACTGACATTTATTGGTACGCTGCGGCCACATTCAGAGTGTCGTTGTATCGTACATCCCACGGGACGCGGGTTTCAGCATTTCTATTTATTTTGTTGCAGTTGCTGACAAATTTTCTATGCGTCTATGCTACGATTTCAAATAATCTTCTTAATAAGATAAACAGCGCCATGTAATCTCTGAAGGTTTTCATCCCTCAAAGCGTTGCATAGAAAATAAAAACTTAAAATCGGGTAAATTCATGAAATTGCTGTCTATGTATCCCATGTTTTTAAATTAAATTATTAAAATGATTATGTGAAAGGAGTTAAAACTAATGTTGCAAAAATGAATACATAGATATTGAAAGAAAAAGCCCTAAATAAAATCAATGTGGCCATCATTTCCCCTGCGAGATTCACAGAAAATATTAGATGATGGCCAGATTGAGGCTTCTCCTTATTAATTCATGACTTGCGTTCATAATGCGCCAACATATTCCGGAGCGCTGTACAATTCTCCTTATCACACTTCTAAAACATTTCTTGATCTTGAGAACGTGTGAAGCACCCAGATTTAGAAATATTTTTTTCACATTCCACATGCAGTTCAGACTGCCAGCAGCAGAGGGAACTAGCAGTATTCCAAAAATTGCCATATAGACAGAGCATGCACTGTAGCTCAGACTCCGGATTCGCTCAATCCGGAGAAATGTCTTCGTGGCTGCCATAAATGGGGGGAAAGGGCAGGCCCTATTATATTACAGTCTGATTCCTGTTATTATTATATCAAGCTTTACTGGGACATCCTTGTAGTGGAATGGACGCTTGCTAGACACTTTTTATTCCCCTTCCGTACCCCCTGTAGTAGAACTTCCACCTTTCGTGTGTTTTCCCCCTGTTCTTTCATATGGTTCTTCTTTGGCCGTTCGGGAGACTTTATACAAACAGAATCCCTTTGTCTCCCGAACGAGGACCACCCCTGTGCCCCATTAGAACGTTGTCACCCACCACATAAGTGTAAAACCGCAAGGGAAACAATTAATGAGTGCTTCCCCTGGGTGTCCGCCATTTCATATAACCGAACATGTGGCAGAGAGAATTGCGGCCATCCTGTCTCCCAAACGTGGGCAGCGGTACTTGGTCGTCGAGTGCCTGGAACTCTTTTCAGCTAGGCACTCGCAGGAACGCCGGTACACCTTAGATTGCTGCCCGTTCCAGTTCCCGACCACCTACACATACGACGTCCAGGAGATATGAACTACCGAACAGAGGGGGCATTCGTATCCTGAAATAAAGAGATTCCTTTGTATGGTGTTTGTACAAGAACCTCACGAACTGACACCGGCCAGGGCACCTATTTCCCTGGAACTGTTTTGGGCTAGCGCCTCGTGTCTGGCCGGTAAAACTTTACCACGATGGCATTCCCATTCTGTCGAACTGATCTGAGTGATTCTTGGATATGTTGGACACTTAGATCGGGGCTATCTGGGAATGTACTTTTCACAGGGTTCTTGGGTATAGTTGAGGTACTTTTTGGGTACAGGATATTTTGTTGGATTTTCCGTACCTGGGAGATAATTAAATTAAATGAGTTTTCTCAGGCAATTATCTCTTAGGCACAGAGCATCCCAGGATTGAAACCCTTGTATTATTGTATGTGAAACCCCTTGCATTGGACTGGGCCGTGTATGTGACAATAAACTTCAGTTGTACTCCCGGAACTGTGTGTCGTCCAGTTGCTGGGAAGGAGGTGGGATATTTCCTTGGTGTTTTACTTGTTCCTGAGTTTTCTTTGGTGGATCCAGCGGTGAAGAGTCCCTGCTAGGACTATTACTCCGCTACATTGGTTGGCAACGTCTGGATCCAGAGCTCACGGAGAAACAAGAACCACAGTGAATGTTTAGAAGTCGTAGATGGACCGTGAATGGAGATTGACTATACCGTCCTAAAACGGTCCACTCTAAAGGGTCTCCTAGTGGCAAGAAGGATAGCGGCAAGCCATAAGAAGAACGCCACCCTCATTGCCAAAATCATGGCGGAATACCGAATAGACGGCGCTTCGGATCAGCACGAACGGGAAACTACCGAATTTCAACAGGAACTACAGTTCCGGCTATCTTTTTAAGGCGAAAACCAGTCTGAAATTATTGCCTGGACCATGTCGGAAGTCCAGGAGTTCGTGTTAAAACTGAACGAAATGCAAAATCCCGAAAGGACACAGGCAGTGACAATGGTACCAGAGGGTACCTTATGGTGCATTTAAAAACTTTGTAGAGGCGGAGGATGATATTGATGCTTTCCTCCAAGACTTTGAGACACAATGTATACTACATAGTATCAGCCCAAAAGACTGGATGCTGCTTTTGCGTAGCAGATAATCAGGGCGGGCAGCCGAAGCCTACCGAACAGTCCCTGACAAGAGTATTAGAGACTATGTTTGTTTGGGTGAAGACCATAATATTAGCCAGGTATGCCATCACTCCAGGCAGTTCAAGGAGGTGCGGAAAACAGAGAGTGGACATTTCGGCTACACCGAGCCACCTTGGGGTGGGTACAAGCTCACCAAGTGAGTACCATGGAAGAACTGTTGCAGCTGGTACTATTGGAACTATTTTTTAACAGGCTGGCTCCAGAGATACAAGAGTGGGTGCGGAACCGCAATCCCATCACCATCACTGAAGCAGCAAGGCGGGCAGATGTATACCTAGATGCCCGCCGACCTCATAGACCGGTCTAGCCCAGAGTCTTTCCTCGACCAGCCTTAGCCTTTCTGGACCGGTGGCACAACACAGACAACTCTGTACCTTCAACGCCCCACCACCATGCTTCCACCAGCAGGGCCAGGTACAGCAGCTACCTTTTGGGAAGCGGGTGAGGGGGCCCCTAGACCTTATCTGGGAACATTGGGAAGGGGATATTAGCCAGGATAGTACCCCCAAGGTTCCATATATACTGGAGCTCCGTGACTGTCTGGAGGAGCTCACTAAGTCTGTACAAACAAACCTCCAGGCGGCGCAGAACCCCCAGCGCACATGGTAGGGTCGGGGAGCCAGGAACCGTAGTTTTCAGGTTGGACAGAGAGTTTTAGTTTTAAATCCTGTCCGTAATGACAAGCTACAGGCGGCCTAGCAGGGACCATACCAAGTGGCGGAAGAAAAGTGTTACACTACATACGTGATCGGCCCTTGCTCTGAAACGGGAGGGCGATGCATGCTCCACGTGAACTTTCTGAAGCCCTACCATGAACGAGCAGAGGAGGTGGCGGCGATCTGCGCCCCTGCCTCTGAGGATTTTGACAACCTTCCCCACCAGACCTCCTAGGGGACGGGAGTCAGACAGGCAAGTTAGAGGAGGTCAAGTTGGGAGAACGGCTGAGCCCACAGAAGTGGTCCCAAGTGATCTCCAATTTGCCCGGGTACCCCTCTTTGGCTACTCACCGGGTAGAGACACCAGGTCAACTCTTACTATGCCAACCCTTATACCAAATCCCTGTATCTGTACAGGAGAGTATGCAAAAGGAGATCCAGGAGATGCTCCAACTGGGGGTTATTGAGTTCTCTGACAGCCCCTGGGCCTGCCTGGTAGTTCTCGTGCCGAAACGGGACGATACGACCCGTTTCTGTGTGGACTACTGGAGGTTGAATATTAAGACAGTTTCAGACGCCTATCCGATTCCTAGCATAGATGAGTTATTAGACTGGAAGGCTAGGGGCCAGTACCTCACTACGATTGATCTTTGTAAGGGGTATTGGCAGATTCCCCCAGCCCCCAAGGCCATCCCTAAGTGTGCCTTTGTCACCACATTCGACCTGTACCAATTTAAGGTCATGCCGTTTGGGATGAAAAACCCTCCGGCTACCTTTCAGAGAATGGTGGACCGGCTCCTAGATGGGTTCCAAGACTATGCCTGTGCCTATCTAGATGATATCACCATATTCAGCGATACCTGTCAGGAGCACTTGGCCCATATAGGAGCTGTCCTAGATAGAATTAGGGAGGCAGGCTTAATGGCACTGTATCTGCTTCATCTCATTAAACTGGTTATAGTGTCTGGAGTCCCCTGGTACCATCATTTCTTTCAGCATTAAACAGTTTTTAATGTTTTAAAGTTTTAATGCTAAACAAGAATCCCTGGCAGTCCACCCCCTCTGTGCTGCTTTAGCTAATAAGGAAGTATTAGCCTGAGCAGCAATAGGCAGCTGTGATTGGCTGAGAGTGTCAGCTGACTGCTTTTAGCCTGTCAGAGCTCCAACTGACGGTATGAATGGGTATGACAACAAGGAAGTGTGTAATCTCTGCCTTAGCTACACATACAGACTGTAGGTGGCCAGGGACTGTTTATTTTGTGCCATACTGCACGAACATGGTACTACACTGAATGGAGGGACAGTACCAGGGCACTCCAGGCACTATAACCAATTCAAAGAGATGAAATGGTTATAGTGACTACAGTGTCCCTTTAACGCTTAAGCCTAGCAAATGTATTATAGGCATGATCGAGTTACAGTACCTCGGTCACAAAGTAGGCTGCGGGCAGCAGAAGCCTGAGCCTGCTAAGATTGAGGCAGTGGCCTACCCCCAGAATGAAGACGCAGGTGTTAGCCTTCCTTGGGACGGCAGGGTATTACAGTAAGTTTGTGCCCAATTATAGTGCCCTGGCCAAGCCCCTTTAGTCTGGGCCCCGGAGTGTGAGCAGGCATTCCAACAGTTAAAGCAAGCTCTAGTAAATGCCCCTTGGCAGCTCACAATCAAACTAAACGCTTTTTTGTCCATACAGACGCTTCTATGTTTGGATTGGGAGCAGTACTGAGCCAAGTCGGAAACCGATGTCCGAGAACATCCCATGGCTTACATCAGCCACAAGTTTTTACCCCGAGAAGTAAGCTATGCCGCCATCGAAAAGGAATACCTTGCCGTGGTGTGGGCCCTGAAAAAGTTGCAATCTTATTTATACGGACAGCCCTTCTCCTTGATCATGGATCGCAACTCGTTGGTTTGGCTGAACCGGGTGGCGGGAGATAACGCCAGGCTGCTGCACTGTAGTTTGGCGCTGCAGCCTTTTGACTTCACCATCCACCGCCCCATGAAACAAAACTGTAATGCTGACGGGTTGCCCAGAGAGATAAAACTTGAGAAGTGATCTGTGAGCACCCCCGGACATCCCCAAGCCGATCCGTTAAGGATCAGGCTGTTGGTTACGGGGGTGCAGTGTAGCAGAATGGACGCTTACTAAACACTTTTTATTTACCTTTTTCAGCTATCCGTACCCCCTGTAGCAGAACTTCCACCCTTTTGTGTGTTTTCCCCGTTCTTTCGTGTGCTTCCTCTTTGGCCGTTAGGGAGACTTCACACGAACAGAATTCTTTCGTCTCACGAACGAGGACCACCCCTGTACCATATTAGAAAGTTGACACCAACCACTTAAGTCTGAAACCGCAACCGTTGACACCAACCACTTAAGTGTGAAACTAGGGCTTTGCTACAATCCTTTCTCCTGAGGCTCTCTGGATGGCAAGGTTTAATGAGGGCAAAATATCATTTGTAGAACAGAAATACAACATACCAAACCTTAAACTAGCAGTAAAGCCCACAACGTATCTAAAAACACCTGCCTTAGATAAATATAACAGGGGTTTCGTTGTAGCACATAAATATTATTGGCCACCTGTGCTATGCAGGGAATGAAGTCTCCTGCTAGATACGGGGAGTGGCGTATCCTGTAAGATGTGAGGAATGGCGTCTCCTGCTAGATGCGGGGAGTGGCGTATCCTGTAAGATGTGAGGAATGGCGTCTACTGCGAATTGCAGGAATGGCGTCTCCTGCGAGATGCGGGGAATGGCGTATCCTGTAAGATGTGAGGAACGGCGTCTCCTGCTAGATGCGGGGAGTGGCGTATCCTGTAAGATGTGAGGAATGGCGTCTCCTGCGAGATGCGGGGAATGGCGTATCCTGTAAGATGTGAGGAACGGCGTCTCCTGCTAGATGCGGGGAATGGCGTATCCTGTAAGATGTGAGGAACGGCGTCTCCTGCGAGATGCGGGGAACGGCGTCTCCTGCGAGATGCGGGGAACGGCGTCTTCTGTCATATTTTGGAAGAATCTCACTCTTGCCTCTTTCAGGATGCACATCCTGCCCTTGTGATATGTTTTGGACCACTCGCATGGCGTACCATTTATTACTTACAAAGCGCTGAGCCTCGCATATACATGGCGGAACACTGCTGAAAATTCTTCCCTTTATATTACATCTGTGAAAAACAGCAGTAATAGGATTTTTTATTAAACACGTGTAGGTTTTGTGTTTTCTGTATTAAACATAGGTGGTGAAGGATAGCAGCTTATTGTCTGTGCAAACAAAATTACCGATCTATGTAATCAATTCTAATGTGTTGTGAGTGTCGGATTGTTACCTTGTCACTCCCAGACGCACAGCAGTGTAACACTGTGTACTTGCAGGAGACTCTTCGTGTATATGCAAAGATGGACACCTAGCTCTAGCTTGTATTAGGCTCTGAGCAATGTGAGTGGAGGTCCAAAGGGATTTAGTGGGAAACTGTTTGTTTGTTGTGTAAAAACAGTTTTCACTATTATTGTCTCTTTGTTATTTTCTTTTGGAGGTAAATTTCTTCTAAAGTAGCTACATCGCTGCTAAGCATTGGCACTAGTTTTCATCTTTTCTCACGGCTGGTATATTGTAATTAACACTAATTGCACAAAAATGTGTTCATCAAGCACTTTACAAAGACTTCTAAACATGATTGTGACAATATAGGTCAAGGTTTTACACATATATTCAATGTTTTTATTGCATGAGCACTTTGAGGATATATTCTAAATTGGCTGTGAATTCGTTGTGACACCTTTAGAAGTGGATATTTTGCAGATTGATTTATTTGTATTTTTAAGCGCTACACCATAATGCCATGTTGTTGAAGATTTTTAGAGTGTTTTCAAGCCTTACACATGATAGGGGTGAGCAGCTAAATGTTCTAAGACATATCAACATATAGATTTTATCTTTTTTAAGCTCCTTCTATATATTTAAACATTTGCACTTTCCGTGCATAGTACAGGAGCAGGCATCCAGGGCTACTCCTCAATCACCTTCACAAAGTAAAAAGAATGGTGGATCCACAACCTGATAGATCTTACTTCGGTCACCCTCCGCTAATGGCCTACAAAGAGGCAGATCTATCCAAAATCACCTAGAGCCGAATAAAAAACGGAAATAACACGACAAATATTTTTTAGCAATCGCCAATTTGGTAATCTTCCATGTCTGAATTGTGGCTGATGTGGTTCAGTGATCAAGGGCCAATCCTTTCCCTGTACTGGCAAACCGTTTACAATTAAGCAACGTTTTTGCTTGTAAATCTACTTCAGTAGATCTCATTAAATGCCCCTGTGGAAACAAAAGAAAAAAGTTACCTGCGCTCTCTCCTTAATCCCTATGTATATTTAGACAAATGGAGGTCATTTAGTTGCTCCAATGGCCACTGGAGGGAACGCCCGCCTGCCAAAGTCAAGGCAGACCCTCCTAAGCGGGTCCTAACACTGACCCTTCAGCCTGCTTCCTTGAGCTTCTGGCAAAGATATCTCTAATGAGACAGAGAGGGGTATTTTTTATATACACCCCTATATAGTTATTAACCCTTAATAGGGAACACATGGGATGGGCGGCAGCATTGTAACAAGGCTGTGTGATACAAAAAGTGAATACAAAAAGATAAGTCAGGCCATTGGAGTAACTAAATAACCCCCATTTGTTTAAATATACATAGGGATTTAGGAGAGAGCGCAGGTAACTTTTTCCTTTGGGTTTTACTGTATGTATTGCGGCTGATGTGTACTGCTGCCCAGGAGTGATGGGAGTGAGCGCAGGTCTTACCTTTTTTCAAATGCCCCTATGGGTTGATTTATATTGCTGTAACCGCCAGTAAAATCAGGGGGCACATATCCAAACAAAGTGCCTGAATCAGGGCAACCAGGGGGAATAAAATATGGGTCCTTACAGTCACTGACCTGGCCCATAGTCAGTGGACAGGAGGCCAGCTTCCACACTTCTCCAGGAGTCCGTGGCAAACATCTGTGGAAAGCGGCGTGTGTCACATTGTTTACCTACCCCAGGTTGGGTGGTCCCTTGTGCATTAATTGATGTAATTAAGAGAGTATTTAACCACTTAACGCCATTACGATCACCACAATGGCTTTCAACCCCTGGAGCAGGATTGTACTTACCTCCACCGTGATCCGCTTCTGGGGGACTGCCTGACAGCCCAGGCACCCACGGGCCACGTGATTGCTCACAGAGCGCTCACATGGTCCCAATAGGAGTCCATGGAGTTGCCTGCACTGTCAAGCAGTTCCTCTAGTGCTGGGGGAAAAGAATTAATTGGTGCACAAAAAATGCGCGTGTGTCCCCCCCCAAAGATGGCTAGGGCTGCACTCACCTGAACATGCATACATTATAGAGTGCTGCTGGGGCCAAAATATACAAAATACACAATCCAGCGCACTCGCCTATTCACTAAACATCAATTTATGGAGTGCATTGACTTTGTGGAAGGCTGATCCAATGTATAATCATATAACGTAACTAAACCCACATTATTCTTGCCTAGGTGAGGTGTTTTTATATAAAACTATTACAATCTGTAAGACTTGAAATTGCTGTTTAGTGAACGAGTGAGTGCGCTGCATTTTGTATGTTACATATATACAATTTTATACTTAATGTATTTTTATATTACATATTATACATATATTTGTGACTAAGTGGCTACTTAGAAAGAAGGGACAAACCCATTTTGAGTACCTTGGGTTGTCTACTTTTGCAAGTGGTATGCCATGATGTGGGTCATACTCATTCCTGGGCTACCATATGGTCTCAAAGGCAACGTAACCAATCTGGCGAATCTCAAATTGCTGAAACAGAAATTGGCAAATCTTTCATTTTTGACCCCGTAACTTTCCAAGAAATGACAATATTTCTTAATTTTTCACACTTTTTTAGATTTTATTCATATAAATTTATGTTCCACATATAAATATGTGATATGAAATGAAAGCCCTGATTAAAATGATATATATAAGTGTGGGTGCATTTAAAATAAAAGAGGTGAATTATGGTTAAGCAGACATATAGCGCAAATTCCCGGATTTGTTTAGATTTTTTGCGATCAGAACGTGTACAATGAGCTCCGTCCTGGAGGCGTTAAACATTGTGGTGTTAGTTGGATCCGCAGCTTGACATAGACACTGTGTGTCGAAACGTTGCGGGTCATTTTATGGTAAAAAAATAAATCTTCATTTGATTGACTTAGTGTTGCGGCTCCATTATTCTTTTTACTAAACAGCATAACACATATAGTGCGCCTTTACCAATGATCCTGCCTGGAACGTCCTCTTTCCTGTACGAATGCTGACTTTATTTGTTATTATCTGGTTAAAGCCCCCCGTGTGGTGTAAGGCCAGGCCCCACTTATTAATGGGATGGCCTAGATATTCTCAGCGTAACGCTGTCCTTCTCTCTGTTTGTCTTTTTACAGAAATCCCCTGCGAAAAAGTTAAGTCATGCAATCAGTAAATCTCTTGGCTGTGTCCCCAGCAGAGAGCTGCCTCACCCTGTATTTCCTGAGCACCCAGAGAAACCACTCGATCTTGCTCAAATAGTGTAAGTAGAGTATGATTATTATAAGCAGTAACGTTAATTATGGTAACTGTCATCGGAGCTAACCAAATATTGTCACCAGTAATCGGAGCTAACCAAATAATGTCACCGGTCACCGTAAAGAATCAAATAATGTCACCGGAGATAACCAAATAATGTCACCAGTAATCGGAGATAACCAAATAATGTCACCGGTCACCGTAAAGAATCAAATAATGCCATTGGAGATAACCAAAGAATGTCACCTGAGATAATAAGATCATGTTACCCGTTACTGGAGATAATAAGATCATGCTACCCATTACTGGAGATAATAAGATCATGTTACCCATCGCCGGAGATAATGGGATCATGTTACTGGAGATAATGGGATCATGTTACTGGAGATAATGGGATCATGTTACTGGAGATAATGGGATCATGCTACCCGTTACTGGAGATAATGGGATCATGTTACTGGAGATAATGGGATCATGTTACTGGAGATAATGGGATCATGCTACCCGTTACTGGAGATAATGGGATCATGTTACTGGAGATAATGGGATCATGTTACCCGTTACTGGAGATAATGGGATCATGTTACCCGTTACTGGAGATAATAAGATCATGTTACCCGTTACTGGAGATAATAAGATCATGTTACCCATCGCCGGAGATAATGGGATCATGTTACCCGTTACTGGAGATAATAAGATCATGTTAGCCGTCAGTGGAGATAATGGGATCATGTTAGCCGTCAGTGGAGATAATGGGATCATGCTACCCGTTACTGGAGATAATAAGATCATGTTACTGGAGATAATGGGATCATGTTACTGGAGATAATAAGATCATGTTACCCGTTACTGGAGATAATAAGATCATGTTACTGGAGATAATGGGATCATGTTACTGGAGATAATAAGATCATGTTACCCGTTACTGGAGATAATGGGATCATGTTACCCGTCAGTGGAGATAATGGGATCATGCTACCCGTTACTGGAGATAATAAGATCATGTTACTGGAGATAATGGGATCATGTTACTGGAGATAATGGGATCATGTTACCCGTCACTGGAGATAATGGGATCATGTTACCCGTTACTGGAGATAATGGGATCATGTTACTGGAGATAATGGGATCATGTTACTGGAGATAATGGGATCATGCTACCCGTTACTGGAGATAATAAGATCATGTCACTGGAGATAATGGGATCATGTTACTGGAGATAATGGGATCATGTTACTGGAGATAATGGGATCATGTTACCCGTTACTGGAGATAATGGGATCATGTTACTGGAGATAATGGGATCATGTTACTGGAGATAATAAGATCATGTTACCCGTTACTGGAGATAATGGGATCATGTTACTGGAGATAATGGGATCATGTTACCCGTTACTGGAGATAATAGGATCATGTTACTGGAGATAATGGGATCATGTTACCCGTCACTGGAGATAATGGGATCATGTTACTGGAGATAATGGGATCATGTTACCCGTTACTGGAGATAATGGGATCATGTTACTGGAGATAATGGGATCATGTTACCCGTCAGTGGAGATAATGGGATCATGTTACCCGTTACTGGAGATAATGGGATCATGTTACTGGAGATAATGGGATCATGTTACCCGTCAGTGGAGATAATGGGATCATGTTACTGGAGATAATGGGATCATGTTACCCGTCAGTGGAGATAATGGGATCATGTTACCCGTTACTGGAGATAATGGGATCATGTTACTGGAGATAATGGGATCATGTTACCCGTTACTGGAGATAATGGGTTACTGGAGATAATGGGATCATGTTACCCGTTGGAGATAATGGGATCATGTTACTGGAGATAATGGGATCATGTTACCATGTTACCCGTTACTGGAGATAATGGGATCATGTTACTGGAGATAATGGGATCATGTTACCCGTTACTGGAGATAATAATGGGATCATGTTACCCGTTACTGGAGATAATAAGATCATGTTACCCGTTACTGGAGATAATGGGATCATGCTACCCGTTACTGGAGATAATAAGATCATGTTACCCGTTACTGGAGATAATGGGATCATGTTACTGGAGATAATGGGATCATGTTACCCGTTACTGGAGATAATGGGATCATGTTACTGGAGATAATGGGATCATGTTACTGGAGATAATGGGATCATGTTACCCGTCAGTGGAGATAATGGGATCATGTTACCCGTCAGTGGAGATAATGGGATCATGTTACCCGTTACTGGAGATAATAGGATCATGTTACTGGAGATAATGGGATCATGTTACCCGTCACTGGAGATAATGGGATCATGTTACTGGAGATAATGGGATCATGTTACCCGTTACTGGAGATAATGGGATCATGTTACTGGAGATAATGGGATCATGTTACTGGAGATAATGGGATCATGTTACCCGTCACTGGAGATAATGGGATCATGTTACTGGAGATAATGGGATCATGTTACTGGAGATAATGGGATCATGTTACCCGTCAGTGGAGATAATGGGATCATGTTACCCGTTACTGGAGATAATGGGATCATGTTACCCGTTACTGGAGATAATGGGATCATGTTACTGGAGATAATGGGATCATGTTACCCGTTACTGGAGATAATGGGATCATGTTACCCGTTACTGGAGATAATGGGATCATGTTACTGGAGATAATGGGATCATGTTACTGGAGATAATGGGATCATGCTACCCGTTACTGGAGATAATGGGATCATGTTACTGGAGATATTAGGATTTATGTTACCATTGGAGATAGGTCGTGGTACCAGTCACTGGAGATAATGGGATCATGTTACCCGTTACTGGAGATAATGGCATCATGTTACCCGTTACTGGAATAATGGGATCATGCTACCCGTTACTGAATAATGGGATCATGTGCACTGGAGATAATGGGATCATGTTACCGTTACTGGAGATGTGGGATCATGTTGCACTGGAGATAATGGGATCATGTTACCCCGTTACTGGAATAATGGGATCATGTGGAGATAATAAGATCATGTTACTGGAGATAATGGGATCATGTTACTGGAGATAATAAGATCATGTTACCCGTTACTGGAGATAATGGGATCATGTTACCCGTCAGTGGAGATAATGGGATCATGCTACCCGTTACTGGAGATAATAAGATCATGTTACTGGAGATAATGGGATCATGTTACTGGAGATAATGGGATCATGTTACCCGTCACTGGAGATAATGGGATCATGTTACCCGTTACTGGAGATAATGGGATCATGTTACTGGAGATAATGGGATCATGTTACTGGAGATAATGGGATCATGCTACCCGTTACTGGAGATAATGGGATCATGTTACCCGTTACTGGAGATAATGGGATCATGTTACCCGTTACTGGAGATAATGGGATCATGTTACCCGTTACTGGAGATAATGGGATCATGTTACTGGAGATAATGGGATGTTACTGGAGATAATGGGATCATGTTACCCGTTACTGGAATAATGGGATCATGTTACTGGAGATAATGGATCATGTTACCCGTCAGTGGAGATAATGGGATCATGTCACTGGAGATAATGGGATCATGTTACTGGAGATAATGGGATCATGTTACCCGTCAGTGGAGATAATGGGATCATGTTACCCGTTACTGGAGATAATGGGATCATGTTACCCGTTGGAGATCATGTTACTGGAATAAGATCATGTTACCCGTTACTGGAGATAATGGGATCATGTTACTGGAGATAATGGGATCATGTTACCCGTTACTGGAGATAATGGGATCATGTTACTGGAGATAATGGGATCATGTTACCCGTTACTGGAGATAATGGGATCATGTTACTGGAGATAATGGGATCATGTTACCCGTTACTGGAGATAATGGGATCATGTTACTGGAGATAATGGGATCATGTTACCCGTCAGTGGAGATAATGGGATCATGTTACTGGAGATAATGGGATCATGTTACCCGTCAGTGGAGATAATGGGATCATGTTACCAGTCACTGGAGATAATGGGATCATGTTACCCGTTACTGGAGATAATGGGATCATGTTACTGGAGATAATGGGATCATGTTACTGGAGATAATGGGATCATGTTACCCGTCAGTGGAGATAATGGGATCATGTTACCCGTCAGTGGAGATAAGTCGTGCTACCGGTCACAGGATCGCGTTACTCTACTGTTTTTAGTTTTGTTTTTTACATTAGAATGTTCTTAATTTAGTGTAGATTCTTGACCCCCTCCTTGTTTAAAAATAAAAAAAAGGGCGGGGGGAGGGGTTGGCAGGGTTATAAAAGCCAGACTCCTCTCTGCAGCCAGATCTTGTAAAATCATCATAAAGATCTCTGGTCCAGGCGAATCCTTCATTGTGGAAATACTGGCCATTGCTGTCATTTGATAGAAAGAGGCGTGTGTTTGGTAAAATTGAGACATTTCTCAGAAAAGGCGAAGTTTTCTATTATGTGCGCCAAAGCCATTACGTTAAAGGGATACTCCGCTGATTTATTCATTGTTAATGAGTTCATAATCTAATAAATGGTTTAATATGATGTATTTTTGCACATTCAGAAATTTATAGTTATTCCTACAACAAATGTTTTACAGAATGCTACACTATAAGCCTGCCTTCTGGCCTCCACATTCCTTATCAGTGTACATACACAGCTCAGCCACGTACAGCACGGAGCCACGCAGCCTACATACACATCTCAGCCACTGACAGCACGGAGCTACGCAGCCTGCATACAAAGCTCAGCCACTGACAGCACGGAGCTACGCAGCCTGCATACACAGCTCAGCCACTGACAGCACGGAGCTACGCAGCCTGCATACACAGCTCAGCCACTGACAGCACGGAGCTACGCAGCCTGCATACACATCTCAGCCACTGACAGCACGGAGCTACGCAGCCTGCATACAAGCTCAGCCACTGACAGCACGGAGCTACGCAGCCTGCATACACAGCTCAGCCACTGACAGCACAGAGCTGCAGCCTGCAGCTCAGCCACTGACAGCAGGAGCTACGCAGCCTGCATACACAGCTCAGCCACTGACAGCACGGAGCCACGCAGCCTGCAAACACAGCTCAGCCACTGACAGCACAGAGCCACGCAGCCTGCATACACAGCTCAGCCACTGACAGCACGGAGCCACGCAGCCTGCATACACAGCTCAGCCACTGACAGCACAGAGCCACGCAGCCTGCATACACAGCTCAGCCACTGACAGCACGGAGCCACGCAGCCTGCAAACACAGCCTACGACAGCACAGAGCCCAGCCTGCATACACAGCTCACCAATGATACAGCACAGAGCCCATACACCTCAGCCACTGACAGCACAGAGCCACGCAGCCTGCAAACACAGCTCAGCCACTGACAGCACAGAGCCAGCGCTCAGCCTGCATACACAGCTCAGCCACGTACAGCACGGAGCCACGCAGCTTACATACACATCTCAACCACTGACAACACAGAGCCACGCAGCCTGCATACACAGCTCAGCCACTGACAGCATGGAGCCACGCAGCCTGCATACACATCTCAGCCACTGACAGCACAGAGCAACACAGCCTGCATACACAGATTAGCCACTGACAGCACGGAGCTACGCAGCCTACATACACAGCTCAGCCACTGACAGCACGGAGCCACACAGCCTGCATACACAGCTCAGCCACTGACAGCACAGAGCAACACAGCCTGCATACACAGATTAGCCACTGACAGCACAGAGCAACACAGCCTGCATACACAGATTAGCCACTGACAGCACAGAGCAACACAGCCTGCATACACAGATTAGCCACTGACAGCACGGAGCCACGCAGCCTGCATACGCAGCTCAGCCACTGATAGCACAGAGCCACGCAGCCTGCATACACAGATTAGCCACTGACAGCACGGAGCTACGCAGCCTGCATACACAGCTCAGCCACTGACAGCACAGAGACATTTCAGGACAGAATAGATTAAACAATCTCCACCCCTACAGGACATTTGTGATAGAGTGGAGGCTGTTTATATCTTATAAATTCTAATCTTGAATGCAGTAGTCGTAGAACCTGCCTCCGGTGATTGAATGTGCTTCTTAGAAAGCCACGTCTGCTTCCCTGGAACCTGTTATTTAATAAGGAGAAAGTATATTCCATGCTCGTTATTATCCCAAAATAACAAATCGACCACAGTTGGTCCGCAGTTGGCGTTGCGGGCTCGTGGACTCTAATTATGGCAATGCGGTCTGGAAATCTCGATAATAATTGACTGGGAGAATTAAAGTCTTCTTACAGATGGGAATAATTATTGCTTTATACAAAGTGTCTTAAAAAACGGTTTTCCTGCATTCCTGTTTTATGTCGTATAACAGAAGAGTGTTTATATTCAGGGTGTGCACCCCAAGCCAGCCATGATTTGGGATTATTTTATTTATATCCGGCTTGACTATAGCGTCTCCATCCAGTACTGCTCCTTCACATGGTTTCTGTGTGTTCAAACATCAATAATATGACCATAATTCAGAGACGTTTCTTGCATTACTTGCCTGCCCGATCATATTTCACTTAATACTCTGATAGGCAGAACCTACATCCCACGATAACATCAAATCTCCCCTCTAACCAGTCAACTGCTGCCTGCTTCGTAGCCGATGGATTCGTTGTTCATTAAATATATCCATAATCTGACATAATAATACACCATGATACACAATGATACACCATGATACATAATAATACACCATGATACATAATAATACACCATGATACACAATGATACACAATGATACACCATGATACACAATGATACACCATGATACACAATAATACACCATGATACACCATGATACACAATAATACACCATGATACACAATGATACACCATGATACACCATGATACACAATAATACACAATGATACACCATGATACACAATGATACACCATGATACACCATGATACACAATAATACACCATGATACACCATGATACACAATAATACACAATGATACACCATGATACACAATGATACACCATGATACACCATGATACATAATAATACACAATGATACACCATGATACACCATGATACACAATGATACACAATGATACACCATGATACACCATGATACACAATGATACACAATGATACACCATGATACACCATGATACACAATAATACACCATGATACACAATAATACACCATGATACACCATGATACACAATAATACACCATGATACACCATGATACACCATGATACACCATGATACATAATAATACACCATGATACACAATGATACACCATGATACACAATGATACACCATGATACACCATGATACACAATGATACACCATGATACACAATGATACACCATGATACACCATGATACATAATAATACACCATGATACACAATGATACACAATGATACACCATGATACACAATAATACACCATGATACACAATGATACACCATGATACACAATAATACACAATGATACACCATGATACACAATAATACACCATGATACATAATAATACACCATGATACATAATACACCATAATACACAATGATACACCATGATACATAATAATACACAATAATACACAATGATACACAATGATACAGTGGGATTGTTTTTTATAACACTTTTAATTAAAGGAACGTTTGAAGTATTGCGCTTTTCATTACAGTAATGTTAACGTGATAGCTTTATTTCCTGCTGTGCACAGGGTAGCGTGTTTTATAGCATGGATCACGTATGTAAACTGTTTGGTGGAGAAGGGAATCTGACATTGTGGTGCTCAGAGAACAGGCTTCCACTGTTAAAGTTCTTTTTAATCAGAAAATCCAATTAAAATGTGTGTTATGGTTGACGAAGCTTTGATGTAAATTCCTGCTATCTAGAGAAACACGCCTTCATAAAAGCATTACTGAGTTTAGAGAGAGCATGAAGCTGTTAGTTTATTAGTACGGAGCACAGTGACGGTGGAGTGTGGTGGAGATATACTGATCCACTCTCTCACACTCAAATGGCCGTAATGATCTGATAATGTGGCAGACCTCCTGCACCGAGCTTTATTTAGTGTTACCGTCCACTGATGCTTTCCACAGTAATTCCAGGCTTGTGGCTGTTGTATAGACTGGAGGTTTCTGGTCGGTGCCACAGGACCAGCAGGCAGTGTGGTGTTGCACGATATAAGACTTTGCTTTTAATCTCTTTGTCAATTTGACTGTTTCTCTGTGTCTGTCGTTTCTGGCTTATTTATGACATGGCGTAGGAGAACCTCTGTGTATCTTGGTTTAATAAAATATCACTGTGGCAAACCTAGCCACTTCAGACTATTTTGTTTATCTTTGAGGGTTGCCCTAGAAAGACTGGTTTATATATGATGTTTGATGTGTTTGCTTAAAATGTGAAAGAGGGAATTCGTATGCTAGTGGCATGAAAGCCGCTAGCATTCATATGGTAGTTTCACGAACAGTGACTTTCAACACTGTTCGTGAAACGAACAAAGTACCGAATGGGAGCCCACACACAGGGGGTCGTGTGGCTCCCATTAACCGATTGCAACAATGTATCCATCGGCTGGTAATTGATTCACAGGGTGGCCGTCGTTCGGCTACCGACCACGAGGCGGCGGCCATCTTGGATTCCCTTTTTGCCCAGCGGTGTTTGGTCGTCGAGTGCCTGGAATTAAAATCGTCTACTCAACGGCACGAACACCGCGGGACTTCCAGGCCGTTCGGGAGCGCCGGTCTTTCGGTACTTTTTCCCCACTTGTGTATTCGTGACTTTTACAAGGAATGTATATTGAAGTGTATTTCGTGCGGCGTTCGGCTGATTGTGCTGGGATCTGAGCGGTACTTTCACGAAGTATGCGCTCAGACCCCAGCTATCTGCCGAACGTCATTCTGTACAATGGCACGAATAATATGTAAGTTACGGATTTTTATGTGAAAAGCCGGTTCTGCTGTACGGAGGGATAATCTACTTAACAGGATATTCTAGTGGGAGTATCCCTCTCGCACAGCAGTGCATGGTGGGAGGAATGTTCTGTATGTTAAGTCCCCCATGTTGTCCCCTACTGTACAACCCCTGTAAAGTCAGTAAGGAAACCCCTTGCATGGGGAACCACAAAAATACTGGAGCTTGTGAATAAAATCGTCAGTTGACTCCCAGAACTGTGTTTCGTCTGGTTACTGGGGGGATTTGGGATATTGCCTTAGTTTTGAGCACTTTCCTTCTCCCAGGCTGGCATCCTCCCCTTTGCCCATTCCTTACCCCAGACTGGCATCCTCCTCTTTGCCCATTCTTTTTCCCAGGCTGGCATCCTCCCCTTTGCACATTCCTTACCCCGGACTGGCATCCTCCCCTGTGCACATTCCTTACCCTGAACTGGCATCCTCCCCTTTGCACATTCCTTCTCCCAGGCTGCGATCCACCCCTCTACTTGCAGGTATTTCCGGCGTTTACAAAGGTTTTTCTTTGCTCACCGGCCCAGGCAACCGCTCTGTAGCCGGTCTTCCTGCCAGGGAACAGTGCAGCCAGAAAACATGTCCTGCTGCTGGAACCTGAATCTGAAAGGAGCTTATGTCATGAATGTTGTACATATACACATCATGCTATGTCACTGTATCAAACCTTCTTTCACCTGTCCCCTTCCTCCGTCGGAATTTACCAGATATACCTGGATTTAGCCTGTGAGTCAGTTTCATGGAATTTACGTACGTTTTGGGTATATATATCCAGTTACCATGTCCTGGCTGTGCTGCGTTCCTTTACCTTCCCCCAGTATAACCCTCCTGCATGCAGCAGTCACTATATTATTAATTAATTCTGATTTTTAATCTCCATGGTGGGGTCTGTCTGCAGACATAAACTCATTAATAGATAATATACAGAAATTCTCGTTTATTGTATCCTGTGTAGAAATCTAGTAAAACAAACGCTGTGTCTGGATTTCTTTATTCAATTCTGCACTCAGCAGGGGGTTGACCCATAGGGGACAGTGTGAGACCACTCATTGAAAACAAGGGGTTAATGAGCAAAGCCAAAACAGTCGGGCATACAGCCAACTTCCATCCCACCATCTAGCACCCCCCCAAACATCGCTGGGCACACCTGGCTGACATACTGTCTGTGTCTTAGTGATTGGGCCGTGCATGTATGGTGTGTCATAGCATGCAAGGAGCCTCCTATTTGGGTGTAATAATAAGTTACCCTTCATACCAGCAGGATTCACCTTTACCGAATTATTAAAATTATAGAAACATAGAAGTTGATGGTTGTAGGACAGTTCCTACAGGTCTGGGAACCATGCTTGGCTCAGCCATAGTGGGGCAGTCAGTAGCAGTGAGATCCTCTGCACATGTAGTTGGTGTAGAACTCTCGCCAACATGGAAAAAAGTTAGGAACGCATATGTTCCTAGAGGAAGCCACTTATGTAGGAACGCGTCCACCACTTCACTGTCTGGATTTGGGAGCCAGCTGAAAAACCATGCAAGTTGGCGATTGGTCCTTGATGCAAAGAGGCCTATCAACAGAGCTCCTCTGCATTCGTGCACACTCTGGAATACTTTGTGATGTAGCATCCAGTCGCTGCTGTCCCTCCAGTGGCGGGAGTACCAGTCCACTGTTATATTGGACGTGCACGGTAGGTATTCCGCCCTCAATGTAATTTTGCGAGACAAACAAAAGGTGTAAATGTCATTCAGTGCCTCCGCAAGTGCTTGGGAGTGTGCTCCGCCCAGCTGGTTGATGTATTGGATGGCCAAGATGTTGTCAATGCAGAGTAGAACGCAGCAGTCTGACCTGTTTCGCCAGGCTGTGAATCAGAAATGAGCCTGCAATTAGTTCCAAGCAATTGATATGCAACCCTGTTTCCTCTGCTGACTTCGGACCCCAAGTGGAGAAGTCTGCGCAAAGTGCACCCCAGCCCCACAGGCTGGTGTCTGATTCCGTTGGGGGCCTTTCCATTTCAAGCCTGGATGTGCAGGAGCTACCACCTGAGTTTGTGCGTACTTCTGGATTGAGAGGTACCAGATGGTCGTAGGAGAAGCCTGCTCGGAGAAAGCGAGCTTTGAGGCGTTGCATGGCCCTGTAGTGGTCCAGGATAAATTGCCTCAGAAGGAAGTTTGGTGAGAATTTTGGAAAGTGCCTTCTCCTTTGACGCTGCTATTGCAGCATGTATCATGGACTGGAAGTCCTGTGGTTCGGTTGGTTAGTTACTCATGGTGTTTTTGAGTCCTGCGGGAGAGAGGACCAGAGATTAATAGCCAGTCTATGTTATCTGGCCTGACGGGGAGTCCCCTAATATTCAGTACAATCTGGGTTCGCCCGGTGTAAAATCAATGTCACCACC